TTACTCCCCCCTGCCCCGTGTATCTCTAGAACTTCTTCTACCTGACATGAAGGAACACGACGCGGCCTCAAGGAGACACATGGACCCATTTATTCAAATGTCTCCTTGGCTAAGAAACCACAAAGGTGAGATAGTAAATTTTAATCAACTATGAAATATCCTAAAGCATTGCTGCCAATTACTCATCGGCCCTCTCCTACGCTGGCCAACATACAATACATACCTACTTGCTTTTGACACAGCTAGAAGAAGTCAAAGGAACGAATTCCCCTCAGCCCGACATATGACATAGCAATTATCACCGTTGATGATCCTAGCACATCCCTTTAAACCGCGATGCCGTAGGAAAAACATGAATTAGAAAAGCGTCATAACGTCAGCCATGTTTCTCTTCTTCTAGTTTCTTTCATAGGACGCCCATCTTACTTACTTAAAATAAGTCTTGTCAACCGGCCCAAACATCCTCAGGCCCAAACCACATCTCCAGCATGCCTTCTTACCAAGTCACATAAACATCAACAATTCCTCACTCATATCGCCGTCACCAAATTTCAAGTCCCTCCTTTCTCTCTCTCTCCTTCCCTTCAGTCTTCCACCATCAGTCTCAAGAAACCACAGAAAAGAATGCTCAAGGCACTCGTCCTCTTTCCCAGGGTATCGGGGTCACCAGAACCAATCACAACACCGTAGGCTAAGAAATCCTCAAGTGGTGAGATGGTGGCCTGTCAAACGAGTCCGCTTGCGCACCTCCCCCCCCCCCCCCCTCCAAGGCACCTAGACTCTCACGACTCCCTTCCAGACCATCCTCCATCCTCCATCCTCCATTCTCCTCCTCCTCTCCCCCCACCACCATCATCCCATCTACCCCCAATCTTTCACTCACCCACACTCTTCATCCCGCACTAAAGCAACCGGCATCCAATGACAGCGGCAGCGCAACTGGCTCGCCTTTCTAACCGGCTACATATGCGGGATTTCCGCAATTCGTCGTTTGGCTCTCTAGCATGGCAAGGGAAAAACTTTGAAAGAGGGAAAGGCTCGGCTAGGTCCGGTTCGGCCCTAGACTTGTCAAGGACGGAACTTCTCACAGAGAGGTCGGCGACAGGGATGAGGAGATGACAACGGAGAAAATTTCCATCAGTTTGGATGGCTGGCTCTGCCGGATGAAAAGATGATTTCTACCAACCTGTCTCAGCCTGTAGTAGAGAGGTTCATGGTTAACGGACGATAGTTTGACGAGAATGTTCGTCGTCTTTAATGACGCGTTTAGCCGAGTCGAGTCTCCTGATTACTTGACCTAGAGTCAACCACTTTTTCTGGTCATGCCCCTTTTCAAACATGCCATCCCGGATAGAAACACGATCGCAAGCAGGCTTGACAGACGGAAACACCCTTCTCAACTCCTAGTTCCCGAAAAGGTCCACCTACCCCGGACCCGATCATCGCCCCCAGAACGAGATGCGTGCAGCTTTCGACAAGGTGTGATGCATCCATCTGCCCAGGCAAAGCTCCGTTGCCGGCGGCTCTGGCCTAGCATGCCACTGCACTGGGATGACGATCGGCTGCTTCCATAGGCCGAGATTTCAAGAGACGCGCCGCCGGCCGCCGCTGCGGTGTTAACACTCCTCTGTCGGCTACGGGGTTGCACAACGCCGTGCAGCGAGTGCGGGGGAAAGGCTTTCTCTCTACCACGTGTATGGACGCCGCAAAATGTCGAAAAAATGATCACATGAATCGTCGAGAGCCCAATCACTGTCTAGGTAAACTTACCAATACCTGACTGGCTGGTTGTAATGCTGCCCATGAAACCTAGTGCTCGATTCTGTCTCTCATAGACCCAAGTCCAGGGCTACCGCAGTCGCAATGGTTCAGAGGCGAAGTCACGAAAGAACAGCGAGGTCTAGAACGTCGTCTGAAAACACAGACCGTTGCATCCGGATCAGCAAGACGTACGGCCGGGGCAAATCAGTCCACGCCATTTGGTGCGTGGTTGTGCCGACGTAGTACTCAACGCGGATAGACTTTCCATTCGCGCTTCTAGGTCGTCTTAACACAGGGAAGAACGCGGTATACACCCGTACAGCAAATGAAACATCGTTGAAGCCCGACCTAAAAATTGATGTGACAAGCAAGGTTGGAGAAGTCTAGAAATAAGTCGAGATTCGTCTGTCGCAAGTGTCAAGCTTGTGGACTGTGGTATATCGATGAGAACTTCCTCTCCGGGAGAGTCAGACACGCATTCGCCGTCGCAAGACAACGTATATCTCAAATACTACTAGACATCTTGCCGTTGACTGGCGAGATCGACATTGGCATTAAGCGCTGCAATGGCAGCTAATAGGCGCGCGTGCGGATAAATGACTGTCTTGGGCTCAAAGATGTCCCTCGCTGAGGACTGATTATCCTCGTATACAGGATAAAAGTGCGTACATCGCCACATTACAACGTACGCATTGCCATGGCACGCTCGTTCGTCAAGACGTCATTGAGACCACATAGTCAACGTGCAATTGCGGCGACAGAGCATAGACAATCTTGGGCAAACACTGCGAAGACGGGCAACTGTCGAGGTTTCGAGATGCTACTACTTCAGTGCGTAGTTCCAGGAGACGAATGGCTCTTGCAAGGCATCATTGCGTCACTGGCGAAGAAGACAGCTACCATACAGCTGTAGATGCTGTATGACAACCCCGGCTTCGGACACTTGCATGTTGGACGCAGGTTGCCCTCCTCAAGCTCAACGGATGATGAGGTCACCCAATCCTGTGAGTCGACACAGACTTACGTTGCAAAATACTGTATGTTTCGTGCAGGAGTATATATTCTAGACCCGATGATCAGGTCCAAAATGCGGCACGTAGGGACACATCCGTACCGTAGCGAGGGGATTATCCAGTAAATGTCGAAAGCCAGTTCCACGGGATCATGAGCACAACCGAGGCGCTCAATGACAACGGTGACCCATCCTTACGTCGAGTAGATGTTCCGTAAAATCTGCCATTCTTGGTGAGGTCTGCCGAGGGCCAAGCGTCGGGTAGTGGCCCGAGATGAACGCGGATCAAGGAACGCGTACGAGGAAGTCGGCGGGAGTGTCGCTGCCGCACTGATCGGCGGTAACTACTGATTGATAATTGCCCAGAGATCGATGCCGCCTGTGACACGTTTAGGAGCCGTATGCAGAGACTGACAGAATCCTTGCACTATGACTCTAATGTTGTGAGGCGCCGCATAATCTGGGCCGCAGGGTGAGGTCGATTAAGCACAAGAATTGTGTGGTAGACCAACATGTCTCCAGGGCGCCGCAATCGATGCCATATGGTCGCCTGTCCCATAAACGAGATGGAATCTGGATGCCTGATTGCTCGCCCTGAACCGCATCATGGTGAAGTGTGCGTTGGGCCGCCAGTAGACCCTGAAAACGCAGCAGCAGTTGATAGGGGCCGGACTCCGCGCCGTCCTACGGAGTACAGCATCAGTCGATGAGACCTGTCAGAGAAGACTCAGAGCAGCGATGAGATAGCACGTGTTGGGTGCTCAAGATCTGTCGTGAGCAGGGCCGATTCTCGGGAGTGGTGAAGTAGTAGTTCCAGCGAATCATCATCTGACACACGGCGGTGGCCGGAAGCCAAGATGACAGCAACCCGCATAAGCGAAGGTACAAAAAATTTGGCAGAAACGGTCTCTGAGCAGACGCAGGTTCGGTCATTCTGCTGCAAGTTCGTAAGACAAGCGTGTCTCAAATGCCTGCAGATGGGGTTGCAGGAGCTGGATACTCTGCATTCTCCTCTGGAATACCTAATTGACTTCGTCATACCGAGCTGTCAAGCAGCACAAATCAATCGAGGATTGTGAGACTTCCATCGCAAGGCCCTGAGTATTGAACATGGCGACTACATAATCATGAAGGCCGCCCTGTAGTCTCTACGAATCGACGCGAACCAATGACAGAGCTGACTTTGGGCTCTAGATAAGATGCATGCCGAGTAAATAGGGGTTCGAAAGTTTTTGCGTACCAGACGAAGATGCAAGCTAGGCAGCATGCACATTGTTGCAAGGTCCCAAATCCCAAGAACGCCTGCCGAGTCGGAATTGCAGGAACTCGAGCCTGGTATCCAGAGGACAGCAAAGCGAGAGCAGGCTCTGGGGCTTTGATCGTGACCGCCTGCTCCAATGAATCAAGTGCGGCATGCAGCCTCGACTCTGACCAATTCGTGGGGCTAGCTCGGCCGTTGGGCATCAGCGAGGGCGGCGCTCGAAACGAAAAAGAGGCGGTGGATGATTCGTCACGATGTTGTTATTGGGGCTTTGGACAGGGCTTTGAGATGAAATGCGGTTCTTGACGCCGCGGCCGCTGTAGGCGAAAGGGAAGTCTGTGTCGAAGAGGACCATTTGGCAATCCTGAAGCGTTACGCAAGACACATCGGCGTGTCTTGATAGCACGATGCAGGCAGCCCTAGAGGCCCCCAACGATCCCACCGCCATCGTCATCCCAGGCCAGCTGAGGACGAGGTTGCGGTGTATGAAGACTGAAGCGGTAGTATCGTGGGGAAAGACGGCGTAACGATGGCGGCTGGTTGTGGCTGACGATGGAGGAGCTAAATTAAGCGCAAGAGACTAGGCGGCCAACAAAGCTGGTGGGGTTTGTCAAAGACAGTCCCTGACTCTCTGGGACTGCGGCGTGCCTCGTGCTCCGTATAGAAATGGAGACGACGCAGAAGTAAAGTCGGATAGATTGACTTTTGTCAGACGCCATGACAGCAGTCACAGTCTACAAAAGTCAGGTCTTCAAGGGCGGGCCGGCCTGAGGGCTGTGTGTATCCTTACAGTAAGCGTTGCTTGTGAACCGTGGGGTACAGAGCAGGGTCTGTTGTTGCGCGCGATGTGTCATCCGTTCTGAGATCAACAGGTTGAATACCTGAGCTGGACTGGACTGGCTGGCGCAGGGTTACGGCTATGCAGTGCGGTGGCTATCGACGGGAATTCTAGAAGGCCTTTTTAGTCTACACGTGTTGATGGGGTCGTATGGGGCGCTTGAGGGTGGCATCGCGGATGTGACGACGGGAGGCCGTCGTCGATTGGGCAGCAGGGCAAGTCGAACGTTGCGCCGCGATGAAATCATTGCGTGAGACGGAGTTGGACGGAGTGTTGCGTAGTAAGACGAAGAGGAGGCCAAAGGTCGTAGGTGGCACGTCAGTATCTTGAATTCTAGTGAGTGGTGCGGCGTGGAGTTTGAGGGACGACGAAGGGGTATTACACAGAGATAACGGCGTTGCCAGCGAATGAAGAGAAGATGACGGAGAGAGGGGGGCAGGTGAGGGAAAAGAGGACGTTCTAGATGCAGGTCGAAGTGTCGGGAAGTTGGCAGGCAGGCAGGGAGTTATTTCCAAGCTGGAGGAACTCAAGGAGGCAAGGAGGGTAAGCTGCGAGTCGACGAGTCCAGCCGGTGACCAAGAAAGCGGGAAGGGATCCGGGAAGGGCGATGAGTGCCGATCGTTGAAGCTATGGATCAATCAGATGGGCAGGAAAGAAAAATCGGCAGGAGGAAATTCTCCCTGGTGGACGGACGATGCTCGCGAGATGATTTGGTCATTTTGCATTCTTTTGGGCGAGTAACAGCGTGATTCTGCCGGCGTTTCCCCCCTTCCCTCCTTCCATACTCTTTTCGCTGTAGCAATGACCTACCTAAGGTAGCTGATGAAGTGTTAGGTATTCCCAATAGCCGCGCGAGAAAGAACGATGGTGGCTGAAAATGGCAATGACACAAGAGCCAGAATTGTTCGGATAAAGTCCCTTCCCTACTTACCTGATGACACAACGACACATTCGATCAGGCTTGAGTCGCCGCCCAAGCCACAGAAGGCGGCCTACGATGTACTGGGTCATTGGCCGTTGAGGAAAGAGACCATATCCAAGAGGGTCGGGCCAAGCAGGCACGCACGCAGGAATGAATCTTTTCGGTCACTGCTGGAATATCCAGTGGCCTGGAGACCACCCGAAAGACCGCCTTGAGTTTGGAATCCAAGCCGGTCGGAGTCTTGCCGTGAGTTTTGATAGCGATGACTGTGACTTTTTGCTCAGCCACGAGAGGCGCCAGCTGGTTCAAGAAGAAGTGACTGTATTCGTAGTAGTGAACATGGGGGGACGTGGGCGACCGTGGCGGTCGTCGGGCTGGAATCGTTAGCTTACAAACAGAGTTTTGGGGGCTTTTAATCAAATTGATGGGCAAACCGAGTGTTCCCGGGCCTGCGTTGCGGCTTGCCTGCGTCTCCAGCGGGAACGACGCCAGGAATAAGCTCCAAAGCAGGTCTCCATTCCGACCGTTCCAGCGGGACACTCCCAAGACTTGCTCTGTCCACAGTCCAGGTCCTTGAACTCTGAAGTGAAGAATCTGGGTGCGACTGTGGGCTGGCTCACAGGCTACCAAGGACCCTTAGCGGGCAGACAGGGTCAAGGTCTCTAGGAAACATGCCACCGGAAGCTAAAACCGCGAGACCTGTGGTGCCACCCTGGCTCCCTTTCGAGCATGCTGCGAGACGTATTCGTTGTCGCCGGTCGGGTGTCTCTGGAATCTTCAGTGTTGTAGTCGCGAATAGGTACGGATACTGTGGTAAGGTACCAGCGAGAAATTTGCAAATGCGACACGGCGCCTTATTCGTGGGACATTGTTGCTCCCCTACGACTTCCTTCGGCCAGGCCAGAATCAAAAGACAAGAGCGCACAAGCAATTCGTACCGTTTCGGGCAGGGAACATCCCACAGCGGGCCACCGTTCCTGTTTTCCCCGTTTCTTACCCAAGCACCCAGGGTAAGGTACGGCTGAGGTGTTGAGGCAGGAAGGAGGACTGAGAAGGCCGAGAGACCGCTGGCTCCTTCCCGGTGTTTCTTTCCCTCGGCCGGGTGACTTGTCTGCATTGCAAAGCCAAGCCCAGCGAGACTTCCTCCCATTTTTTCCCCCACACATGCAGTGCCTTCGTGTCTCGTTATCGCCAAAAATGGGGGAAGGAATCAGAGAATGAGCAAGGTACCTGCCAGAGTACGGGGTTGTGTACTTGTTGCCATGTCGCTACTTGACCATTCCGAGTCCTCCTTCACGCCAACTCGCCCGAGGATGAAGCACCGAATGACTTGTTCATGACTTTTGCCGTCGTTCACGCATCCACATTCCCCAAAAGGCAGACCATCCGTCCGTTTGGGCGACTCACGCCTCTGGCGGCGGCCTGCTCTCTCGCCAGCCAAAGAAAACCCTGTCGCTCCTCTCCCCTCTCCAACCCATCCATCCCGTCTTGTCCAATCTTTTGGGGTTCTGAAGGAGAAGACCACACGCAGCACCTGGCAGTGGGCACCGTAAGGCATCTCAGGTCAAGCAGGGGGGAAGACGTACCTTACGGATACTTCTGAGTTGTACCCAAGGAAGGTAGCAGTGCAGGGCCCTGTTGTTCCAATTCCAGTCGTGTGGTGTCGTACCGTCTGGGGTCCATCTCTTGGTACAGCGATACTTGGGTATTCGTATCTACGTACCTTGAACTGTGGACGACCTTCCCCGTCTCTGCCGTCGCTGCCTCTGCCATCTCCGATCCCCGTCCCACGTATTCCCTGCCCGTCCGCACCATAGCTGCCCACCCTCCGTTAAGAAGCAAACCACCTCCCACCCGTCGCGCCCCGGTCCCCATCACCACGTATTATTCTTTCCGTCTCTGCACGTTTTTTTCCTGCTCTCATCGGACTGCTCTCCTGCCTGATGGCTATATTCTTGTCCTTGTATCATATCCACCAACTCTTGACCATACTCACTTTATAATCACTCTCACATCTCGACTCCTCTCCATTCCCAACCGCCTCGGAATCAAACACCCCCTGCTTTATCCAACCGGCCCCATCGCCTTAGGTCCTCGTCGGAAACCAACACCCTGGCTTCACGTCAAACACACGTTATTGCCTAATCCTTCACCAACCTGCACGATACTTCACGCCCTCTTTCCCCAATCTCTAGAGCCCAATCCTCCAGGTCACTTATTCAGAGGCCTTATTCCATTGGGATTATATGAAGCCTTGCTCCCTCCCTTAGCAATCCTGGCATACATACCTCTACTACATCGTATAACACCAACAACACTCCTCTCTCAACCTCGAGTCTCCCATTCGGCTCACCCCACACAACACACAACAACACATCACCATGTCACATTCATATCGGAAAAATAGCTCCAAGAGCTCGACAAGTAGTCGGGACTTCCGTAGGAGTAGTGAGTCTTGCGACTCGTACGAGACGTATGAATCACAGAGCACAACACCTACTTCTTACTATGCGAGCACCGAGGCCTCTTCAGTCAAAGAAGCCAGGACCATCTCTAACAAGATCCCGCCTGTCTACGAAGAAGACATATCCCCTTCCACCAGCAACTGTCTGAGATCGTCCGTCGACACCTTCGACTCCAGTCTGGCCTCGGATGACGAGGACGAGCTTGAACTCCAACGGGAAGCCGGACTAGACAACTTCGATAAGCACCGCGACATCCCGCCTTTGCCCACCTACTACCGCGACATTATCGACACCGATGTACGACCCTCAACGCCCCAGGATTTTGGCAAGCTGTTCCCCTCCATGAACAGGTTGTCCATCTGCCATGACGAGTTTACCCCGGACGGCAACATGAACCTCAGAGTAGACACCGTCGCCCCCGGTCGCCGACCCTTCAACATCCAGCTCTTCCACCTGCGCATGTACGACCTCAGCAAGCGTGAGTTCTCGCTTCGCCGGTACTGCCGCGACTCCGGCCGCGAAGTCTGCAATTCCAAGCGCAAGTACGTCGAGGAAAACAATCAAGAGCGACCAACTCTCCAGCGATCCGTCTCAAGTGCCATCAAGACCCTCTCCATGAGGAAGCCTCCTCTGTCGCGCACCAACTCGGGCGGCTCGATCTTCGGAGGGAAGGGCAAAGAGGGAGCTTCACAGCGCCCGCAGTCAAGCTCCTCGTCTACGCGCACTTATGGTGACGACGCGGCAAGCTTCAAGCGTTCAGCCTCGTTCGAAACAAAGTCCAAGGCTCGACCGGTTCCCAGCAACACCTTGAAGCTCGAGTTCTCCAACTATGCGCGCGTCGACGTCTCACGCCGCGGCGGTGCCAACAACAAGCGCTACGAGTTTGACTGGTGGGGTCACAAGTACCAGTGGAAGCGTGTCACCGACAAGAACCTCGGCGTCGTCTCTTTCCACCTCGTTAAGGACGGCAACAACGACGCCCGCGATGCCGTCGCGCACATCGTCCCCGAGACCCGATCGCCCAACCAGGTTATTGAGGATGAAAGTGCCGGTGGCTGGGTGCCCCCTTGCCACATGTGGATCAGCGACCGCAGCGTCCTCGATGCCGTCACCGACGTCGCCGATGTGATCATCGCCACCGGCCTCATGGCCCTTGTCGACGACTGCATCAAGACCCGCTGGCAAACGAAGAAGTTCACCCGCATCCCGGTGCCCATGACCTCCCGGTCCTTCGACGTAGAGCACGTAGGCCCCAAGGCCTTTATGCAACACTTTTTCCAGCGTCGCCCCTCTGATCAAGCTTCAAGTCCACTACGGCAACGTCCGATCTCAACTTATTGATAGGGAAATAGGATGCATGGGTTTTTGACGTCCATCTTTCGTCCTTGGATTTTTTCATTGGAAAAAAAAAATCATCCTTTCACTACGAATTTCTCATCTCTAATGGGGGAGGGAAAAAGAAAAAAAAAGCCCACCTTCAGAGGGAAGCTCCAAGTCGACTTGTGATCGACTTACACAGACTCCAAGAAGGGAGCAAAACACAGTTTAGCGGATTGCGCGCAGCACATACAGAACAGAATAGCACACAACACACAGACGACAGCAATGTGGATATGATGGGCAGGATACGGTACCATGGGGAAAATTCCTCCCGCTCACAGCATGGAGTGGAAAGGCGTTTCGGACTCCCCTTTTTTGTTTCTTTTTCCTTTTTGAGTGTGTGCATTTATCTCTCTGTATGTATCTCTTTACTCTTTTTTCTTCTGCGGAAGATGCATCAAACAGGCGCTGGATCCGGTTTGGATTGGAAATTCCCAAGAGCTGGGATGGAATGGATGAATTGCGGAAGCAAGCAAGCCCTGTACGAACTGAAACGACTACCCTCAAAACCTCTTCCTCCTTTCATGGATTAGGTATTTCGTAAATATGAATGAAGACACAGACGGTGCGTCATTGCCTCGATTCTGATTTGCTCATATCATCTTGCATAGCTGAGGAATAACGTGATCATGGGATATTTTTCAACGCCTAGTGCTAATGCTCGATGCTCAAAATCGGGGAGAATAGGTAAAAATCCCTTGTACAAAGCCGATTAATACGACCTTGACCAGAAAAAACAGATGCTTCCCCGTTGCCAGTAGACAGATCATAGTCAATGTCACACCACCACCCCGCGGCCCCATCATCGTGAGATTTCGGTACGACGCCAAGGTAACCCCACGCCAAACGATACCTTAACCGACCTGGCGACGCCAGCTCCGCTCTCTGGCGTGACCCATGACGTCCCCCTACGGAGTCCCTAGCCCGGTCCGTCCCGCCGGTAAAATAACATAAAAAAGGGACAAAAAGCCAATTTACTACTGCTGGGCCCCGGCCGGCCAAAATCACCCCACATACGCTGCACGAACACGTTCTTTGTCTTTCCGCCTTGCTACCTTGACACCTTGACAGGGAAGGGCGGAGAGGAAATAGGGTAGGGGGAAGGGAATGGAAAAAAGAAGAAGGCATATCGTGAAAGCTCCCTCGCTTAGGTTGTCTAACCGAACGAACGTAGACATCTCACCACGCATCGTAGTTTGCAAACGGACCCCCTCCCGCAGATAAGCGTGTGTTTGTGTGTTCCCCGTTTTTTTTTTTTTTTGAGAGCGATTTCAAGATTCGGATTTATGACGGCATGTCCTTTGCATCGTCGTACTACTCGTCCCCGCTTCAATACCCTCATTCCACGATCTTCATCGGTTGTGGTGGTTGTTTGTATTGGATGAAGTCTCTCCCGTCTCTCCCGTAAACGTCAAGGTTCTCTCCAGCCTCTGCTCATTGCGGGGGAGGGGTGGCGAGATGTTCCCTTCCACAGGGCTCTGTGTGCGTATTGCATATGTGCAATCCCAACTCTTCGTAATCCATGTCCATGTCGCCTTGCTCAGTACTCACTAAACACGAACCCAAAATCATCCTTTTTCTCCCCAAACCACCCCGCCAAATCAAGCTTCATCAACAACCTCTCCACGCCACCGACCCTTCGAGGCACATACTCACCCTCCTCCCTCAAAACCCCTTCCTCACCGCCCTCCTCCTCGTCCGCAAACGCAGCCGGGTCCGCCTCCAGACTCCGCAGAGTGGCAATCACATCCCGGATCCCGTCCTTGACATGCTTCTCCACGTCGCGGATCGCGGCGCGGACCTCCGTCTCCTCAATCTCGAGGTCCACAAAGGCGTCGACGACGCCCGCGTCCGCTTCGAGGTCCATTGAGGTCCAGACGGCGTGGAGACGCTGCGTCAGGGCGACGAGGTGGTCCGTGTGCGTGAGGAGGTTGTACAGCGGGTCCGTGTAGGTGGGAAAGGTGAGGAGGAGGCGGGTGGAGAGGGCGCGGAGGTAGGCTCTGTGAGCTATGGCGAGACTCTGGGGGTCGTGGGTTGTGGTGGGTTCTGTTGGTTTGGGTGACTTGGTTGTAGGTGAGCTCTGGGCTAGCCAGATGTCGTCATCGTCTTCTTCGTCTTCTGCCTCGACTTCTGTCGTGGGTTTCGATGCCGCCTTGGTTGACGAACCAGAAGGTCCTGTTTCAGTGCCGTCCGTCTCTTCCTTGGGAGTCAGCCAGTCGTGAAAGCCGTCCCATAGCCCAGCTACTACTTCCGTTTGCAGATATGCCTCCGTCTCGGAGAGGAAGAATAACGCAGAGCTGCATGTCACCCAGGCACTGCGCAAGGCATTGGACCTCTCTGTATAGCGCTTACGCAGCAGTATCACCTTAGATCGCCCTGCTCGAGTGCTTCCGGCTGGTGGTCCCGGAGGTGCCGGATGATGCCGGCGTAAGGATGTAATCTTCCATAGCTCAGTGAGACGGATGTGTGCTCGGCGGATAGAGAGAAGATACGAATTAATAGTGGAGTAGATCTGCAAGTCGGAGGGGGTAAGAAACATATCCATGGGCGAAGGAATCTGCATCGTCAAGACGACGGGGACTGATAAAAGAAGGTTGCGGAAAGGGGTCGTGGCCAGAGTCTTCGTCGTTGGCCGCGATACGCTAGCCTCGAGCTTGAGAGGCACTGCCGGCTTAGACTTTGTGAGAGTCAACCGCAGAAGCTCCCGCGCAATCTCCAACCCCTCGTCTTCGTCTGTGTGCTGCCCCTGCATCAAGCCCATGGCCGCCCACGTCTTGGCCAGCACGGCGGCGACCTCGCCCTCCTTGACGGCAAAAGTGCCAAGGCCTTCTCGCTTTTCGTAAGCGAGGTTGTCGGATCTCTTCCATCGGCTCCGAAGCTTCTCGTCAGCCTGCTGTGTCAGAGCCATGGCGAATTCGCCGCGGCCAAGAAGGAAGAACTCTCGCAAAACCTGGAGGGCCTCGACGACTTTGGTGAGAGGCAATAGCTTCAGTAAGATCGTCCGTGAGAGTGTAAGCCGAATCGAGGTAATGGCGCGCGAGAAGCTCGCCGTGTGGAGGGGGTATGTTAAGGCGGTTAGCTCTTTTAGTTGCGAAGATAGGTGATCAAGGCCTTGTAGGCCCGACTCGACACTGCCCTTGACACGAACGTGGTTGAGTGACCTGCCGATGAACAGCATTGATGATGCTGTTGGTAGAGTTACGAAGTTGGGCAAGAAAGTCGGCACTGAGACGTATTCCTTTGACGGTCAGTCACAACCCTCACAAACCACCCAATGTTGATGACCTACCTGGTCACCTCCCTCCGATTTTTGTACGAAAAAATCCTCTCCTCCAAACGTCGGCAATCGCCCGTAGAGGATCCAGGCAGAAAGCTGCTTTAGCCACGCCGTCTCTGCGACAGACACAAGACTCATAGCCGTCCTCTCAATGTCGACGTACCCACTCTGGAGCTCACTCCTCAGCCTGTCAATCAGCTGTGCGCCGCGACACGTCTGCCCTTGCTGCTTCTTCAGCATGAACTGCACAATCTCCCACAACCACTCCATCCGTCTCGTCCATTCGGAAAACTCACCCACAACAGCCGTCAATGGCACAATGTTGTAGGCGCCGACGAGACTCGAGTCCTTGCGCAGTATCGTCTCCTCGACCTCGAGGACCTTACGCTGGAAAGCGGCTAGGTGGACGGACTGTATCGCGGTCGCCGTGGCGCGGCATATCGTCGATGGATGCTCGGCGGCGATGGGGGCGGTGTAGCTCTGTAGTTTGACGTGGAGGTCGCTCAGGTGGGCGGCGGTGGCTAGGAGTTCGCGCTCCGGTGGTGAGATTGCCGTTGATAGCGCATTGGAATCTGAGTTGTCGGTTCGGAGGAGAGGGGAGGGGTGCCCAGAGAGGGCGAGGAGGATTTCGTGGAGCATGCTGGCTGTTTACTTCTATCGAGGGAAGAGAATCGAGGTGTTAGTCGGTGACAAGGTACAAACAGGGATCCGATCATGAGTTCAAGGAGGGAGACGGAGGAGGAAGAGGATGTGGCACATTTCGCGTGGTTGCGGCGGCTTCTTGGACTTTGACTTTTCGCCAAAGTCGCGGAGAAGCAAGATGAAAGCGCCTAATAGCTCGAAGCGACACATTTACTCGTTTGTCGGCAAGTGGAGGTTGGCAGTACGGCGGAGTAGAAAATCGCCGGGTGTCGTCCAGGATCTGGCGGGATGGCGGGGCAGGTCGGCGGGAGGAAGCAAAAGACGGGGAGAGTTGGGCTGCGTTGCAACAACAGACGACGGATGGTTGGCAAATGGATAAATTACCTGATCTGTTTGGGCTGCATATAACTAAGGTATCGTAGCACGAACCCAAAAGGAAATCCCTCTTTTTCTTCTCAGTCTCTCTCAGACGGGAACAGGAGAGCGCGAGCCACAACAAAACAGCACCGACGTCAAGGAGGCTCCATGCCGAGGGCCTGATCCCTTCCAATATCACAATAGTCGCATTGATGGGAGTGGGCGTCGGAAGGAAAGCGCGATCTGACGCGACCGGACGGGCTAAAGTGGCTGCACTGAGACCAAGTGAGGCGTTTGCGGGTCCACGTGACCGAGTGTCTAAGGTTATGTAATCACCGACGACTTCCGGCACACCGGCACCTGACGGCATTGGATGTGCACTCCGTCTTACCCGTCCAAGGCTTATCCCGAACACCCTTGGATTGAGGTAAGGTACCTTACTCCAGCCAAAGTTCTGACTTAACAGATGCGGAGAGTGGACTCCAGTATTAGTGTCTTGAAGTTTCTTAATTGGGCTACCTAGGTTTCGTTTACTCGTATTGGATACGCACTGGTTGGACAAAACTACAAAGTGGCCCACCATGCCTTCATTCCCAATCTTTCAATAATGAGCTCAGTACCTCATAAATGTCCACGGGTCCCATCCATTCCGTTCAGATCCATTGTCATCCATTGCAGGCTCATGGCCTCTTGCCAGCTGGCTGCTTGCCATTACCCTCATACGCCGTGTACATACTGGCTGTATCGCTCTGGTCGTCTCTGCGAGTCTTCTGGTCTTCCAAATAACCGACTGCTCCGCCATCGCCGCCTCCGACGATGATCTGTCCGCCACCCTTTACCTTACCGACGACCATACCCTTTGCTACGCTCTTCAGGATTGCTCTGCGGGAAACACCTGTTACATCGATGTACACCAAGCCAACGTTCTTGAAGCCGCCGCCAATGTTCCTTGACACTTGGCCAGCCTCAGAACCCCAACGATGCTCCACCATCTGTGATACGCTAGACGAGGTGCCAGTCAACAGATTGCGTCCTGCTTGATCAATACCATCCGCAACAGTGTTGAAAGCCATCAAGCTTCTGTTCAGCAGGCCAGGCTTGTAACCCTCAATGGGGTTACCATCCTTGTCGTAGCCTCTTCCACTGCCATCCTTCTTTCTGGCAAGGGTGGCGCCCAGGTTTTGGGCTACTTTGCCCACTGCACCAACCGTGGTTGCCGACAAACCAGCCGCCTTGGTGGAGAACTGGTTGATGCGTCGTACACGATCGTGCGCTGCAGGAGTAAACGTCACGGGTTCGGTCGTCGCCTTCGTCTTCTTTGTAAAATTATCGGCCGAGGACTGCAAACCCTTTGTGATCAGGTCCGACGACGTCACAATGAGTCGGGATGCCTTTGAAGCATTCGACACCAAGAACGACTTCTTGTACGATGGGTGCATAATCATCTCGCGATATTCCTGCGACACGGGCTGAACGGTAATGGCTTGGCTGTTGTCGGCAGGGAGTGTAATCTCCACCGGATCTAGCATGCCATGTGAGTCAAGCTCGGCCGAGGTGCCCCCAAACTTACCTTTTGTTCCAGGCTTGACGCCCAGCTCCTCTACAACTTGATAGTTCTCGTTCAGCTCCCCGATGACACTACCGTCTTCTTCGTCAATCAAGACAATCCGGCCGCCATTGTGCTGAGAGCTGTGGGCTCCAGGAGCATAGCCCTGTCCGGGCTGGTAATCGGCAGGGTTGTAGGCAGGGAGGCCATCGGCGGCGGCAGCTCTCGACTTGGCAGAAGGAGCGTCGGTGACGGGGTCATCGAAGGGGTATGCGGAGGCCGCGGCGGCGGCTTTGGCCGACTTGGACGAGGTCTTCGGCGGCGGGGCTCGCTCGAGGAACGCGGTGCATTGTGCAAGGATCGTTTCGAAGGTGTCGACGTCTTCCTGAAGTCCTTTCCGGCTACCGGTATCCGGAAACTCAATACGGGTGAAGGCACCACTGTCTGGGCCCAGATCCCATCTCGGAATCAGGTAGCTTGTTGGTGGCTGGTGGTAGATCTGGGTTGTCGCAGGAAGAGGAAGATCGAGCTCGGGAGGTAGATGGAGATGCAGGTAGAAGTCCTCGGCGGGGGAGTCTGCGTCGGTGAAGGGTGAAGAAGTCGGTACCATCAACAGCGACAAAGTCTGGGGGCCAGCAGGTGTGAGTGACTCCTCCTTGCCGTTGGAGATGTGGAAGGCTTGGACGCCGTTGATGGCATACAGGAGCTTGGGGTCCTGGTTTCAAAGTCAGTGAGGGCGGTCGCAATACTTTGTCCTTCTTGGAGGGCGTACGTTGTGTCCCGAAGCCATGGCGAAGAAGGGTGCGCAAAGCAGGCGCAGAAACTCGAGATCTTGGTTACGTCAGGTCAGGCCAGGCCTCGTACAAGATGGTTGCTCGTGGGCGGTGGTGTCTCGAGATGCGACTGGCGCGTAATGTCGTGAAGAACTTTGGTGAGAGACCGCGGGGTACAAAGAGTCTAAGGGGGTTATGTTTGCAAGTGGGAGAGAGAGCGTTTGTTAGGGCGGTTGTTGAAGCGAGATGCGCTCCGGAGGATTAAAGGTCTGGTTGGTAGGTGGAAGCCAGCGATCAGACAAAGTGACGACTGTGTAGGGGAACCGCGACAGCTATTCGCCGGCAGGAAAACCTGGCCAGGAATGGCAAGGAATGGCAAAAGACGAGGGGCACTTCGGATGGTGCTCTGAGACTTTGTGACGACGAACCGGGCTCTGTCTATTCAAGGACCGGGGGTGTAGTGAGAGCGAATATGGTTGGATTGCGGGTGTGTCGAAACAGCTTGCATGGCGCTTAAAGCAGCTGTTGGTGGTGGTGCGCCGTGCTTTAGCTTGGTGATGGCGCTGGTGCGTGCCCGAGAGGCCTCTGGGCGGCGAGCGACGTCATTGGCCACTGTTGATTTTCAAGGTGTTCCCAGTCCCTGCACCAACGACACGGCGCAGAGATACATAGAAGACTGGACGACAAGTGACGGACCCCTTTTTCGCCCCCCTCCATTCTCTTCAGTGGATTCGTCACTCGAGCATATTGATTGTTCAGTGTCGATTGCTTGCACAGCCACCTTGATTGCTGCGTCGGAGGCGGGGTTCCAGGTGCTTGGAGGAGGAGGAGCAAGACTTGGCAGAGGGAACCAGAGACATGGGAAGCTCTGACCACCTTTTGATGCTCCTTCCAGCGGCTGTCACACGCACTGACACACCCCCATGTGTTTTCTGGCGCGCTCCACCCGCTCATCGTTGATTGCAATGACGAATACTCCCAAGTCAAAGAGAAGCAAGCAATCCATGGTGAAGGTGAAGGTGAAGGTGAAGGTGAAGGTGGCGGCATCAACACCTTCGACATGGGTACAGATAGGCGCTTCACCTGATTGGTCAAGACTTTGAGAGCCTCAACTGCTTGTCAGCTGTGTTGGATAAAGAGGCTCAGAGACTTGACTTACCCGTGGAGTATGTGACCCGAACCACCAACACCAGTCATGGAGAGCAGCTTCGTCAAACATGAAGTGAGCCATCATGGGAAACAGACACGAGCTGAGAGGGGCAAATCCTGCAGAATATATTAGCTCAGCTTCTAGGTAGCAAACAACAAAAGTTAGGAAGTCATACCATTGTGTTCGTTCGACAGCTTGCAGGTAGCATGCGCAGACTTGGACGTAAAGACCAGAACAGATGATCGAGAAGCCTCCTCGTCCGGAAGCCTAGTCCGACCAAAGATGTTCGACGATGATGTTGACATTGACAAGTTTTCTGAAGACTGTCGGGGAGGGAACGACACCACAACAGCCAGTGAGGGCAATCACCATACGGCGCCCGATAGATGACAAGTCTTCGTGTTCAGACCATTGACAAGAAAGTTGTTGGGGTAGAGCAATCAGTCGGTCATCGTGTGGAAGACAGACTCTTAAGTAAGCCGAGGCCATGGTGAACAACTTTGACCGTGACCTTCGACGAGCCGAATAGAGTACAACGGCACGTGGGTCCGGTGGCTGGAGATAAGCCAGTGTAGACACTTGGGTCGAAGACAGCATGCCGTGATATGCTATGATAGGGCGCGTTGTGAAAACAGGCAGCCATGACAAAAGACGTTTTAATAGAAGACGTCACGATGGAGGGTTCATGATGGAAGCTGCTGCTGTTCGAGACGCCGTGATAGGAATTGTCGTGGTAAAAGGCAACCATGGCTGGAAGTGCTTCAATGAAAGACGCCGTGATAGGGGATCGATACTGAAAGATGACGGTGTACGAGATGCCGTGATGGAAGACGTCGTCAAGGATGTCCATGGTAAAGTCAGCTGACCAAGATGCTGGATGGGAAATATCGTGATAGGAGACAGCCATGGCAGAAGATGTCGTGGAGCAAGATGTCGTGAAGCAAGATGCCGCAATACAAGATGTCGTAAGAAAACTCGTCGTCAAAAACGCTCCCGTGAGAGCACATAATTCTTCTTGTCCCCCGCTGGAGCCCAAGTACCGGGCGTCGGAGCTTGTCGGAAGAAGACACTGTCGGGAAAGGAACTTTCTGTGAACTACGATGGGTTCATCCGGGTAATGTCCACCAGCACCGCCCTGAGCGGCACTAGGCTTCGCAATGCCCATTCTATCACTCAACCCCGTCTTGAAACCCTCCTTGAAGGCCTCCTTACATATTTCCTTGGCTGCTTCGCAGATGCCATCCCAGGAGGCCTTCAGAAATTGTATGATGAACGGACTGACAGCTTTGTAGGCGCTGCTGTTGGAGATTGTTGTCCATCCACCTCATAGAGGTTCCCAATAGGAGGGAGTTAGATAGCAGAAAGTGACCACGACCAGTGTCGAGAGGCTAACGGAAAGGGTGTGCATGTTGTAAGAATAAGATGGTATCGCTGTGCGGCTCGCTTGTATTCGGTGATGTATAATAGGCGACCCCCTGGAGAAGAAAAGAAGAAGAAGAAGAGAAGAGAAGAGATGGGGGGATGATGGGCATATATACCACCCCAAGAACTCTATGGAACAGAGTCAATCCTTCCGAGGCTGGAATTTGGAGTGAACATTCCCTACTTCCGATATTCTGCACTAACACGATTTGGCTGGTGCTACTGCCGAGTCATGCTGCTTCGATGCGGAAGTTGCACGTAACTAGACAATGTTAAGGGCAGTGACCGCACGCCATGGCAGAACAGGGGGAAGATGATAAATGTTAGTCTCCTGTATGTCCGACATATCGTCACTTCCTTCAGTTCTGCTCGGTCAAGTGCAACAGATGGCCAGCACAAATTGGAAGGAAAATGGCATGATATATTCTCTGCGCACTTTCCTCCGAAGTTCGTTATCGGGAATCTCAGCGGTTTCCCAAGCTTCAAAGCCTGGTTTCCGGAAAGCGGCTTTCACTTCAGATACTAGAAGGAGGAGACCTGTTAAATCAACTGGAACGCTCGAGTCACGCGTCGATCGAATGCTCTCAAGTCTCTCACTGTTAAAAGTTGCGATGCAAGTCACTAGTACGATACAGATTTGGGTGCTTCAAGATCAAGAAGATATCACATGTTCCAATAAGAAAGTTCGTCGACATGAAGGCGCATATGCAATTGTCTCAATCTGCTGGGAAACATCTTTCACGTAGAATTTCGGCACAGGTCATTGTTGAAGGCCTAACCGTTGATGGCTTCGTCCTCGCCTTCCCGTGGGACGGGTTGCCGCATCATAGGCCGCGCGTCGAAAACTACTACGGCAAGATGAAGTTCGTGTACTTCTTTCTCCATTCACCGGCCTGACACAATCCGACACGTCGCAGTTGAGTGGGCGTTCCCGCTGGAAATCCTTGCTGCGAACGAGTAGTACTTGACGCCTTCCCTCTCCCTCGGTGACCTTGACCAACAGCTTCCTCGTCTTCGTCGGCCCAGTGATGTCAGGTACACGGTGGGACTTGTTGGCATCATAACCTGCAGGTGATTCACTGGGCCTATCCGATATCTCATTCTATGCGGCCACGTCCCTGCGTATGAACCGACCGCGAGGCACCAATGAGATGGGCTGACTCCAATGACACTTCGTGGGGGTTTAGTACCGCTGAATACCTTGGTGGTCTTTAAGATCCATGTTGATATCACTAAGCCATCTGGATAGACGTAGCTGGCGGGAGCGATGTTTGCTTAGTCTCAAGAAGCTTCAATTTATTTACTATCGTTGTGGAAGAAAGAAATTCCCTAATAAACGTATGATGCACTTATTATCGTCACCGTAACCAGACCAAGTAAGCCTACTGGATATAGCTCAGGGCTTTGATTCGTGTATTGCATCTCCAAGCGCAACAATTCCAATTCTTTCCGATCCTCTTCTATCCATCGCATAATGTTCCCCTGCTGGCGGCCTTTCTTTGATCGCATAACTTCACAGATCCTCTTCAAGTCGGCAGAGAGCTAACTTGGCTAGCATCTGGTTTACGTGCTCCAGCACGATCAGCCAGATAGTCGATTCCCCTGGATGATCATAGTAAGTCTGCCCGCTGAAGAACATGGGAACAAGTGACAAGATGTATATGATTAAGTGCTCCAGCTCGAATCCCGGGTCTTCAATACCGCGCTCTTTCTCGGCGAGTTGATGAGCGGCTATGCCAGTGCGAGCGTCGTGTATGACCCAGTGCACGATGAGACCGAAGATTTTCCATCCATCCAACCGCTCAATGCCATTTCGAGCACCCTTGCCGTATCTGCGCAGGACCAACCTATAGTTGGGCTCTTGGCCGGGCGTTGTTCCGTTCAGGACATCCAAACTGTCCATGTTCCCGCTATTGTCGCCCCCTTGCGTGTCGTATACTTCAGTGCTGCCGACATCGTAGATCTTGGTGTACTTGGACATGATGAATCCCCATGGGTCGTGGCCGAGTGTGCGCCACGGCTGTTCCTCTGCGTCAAATCGAAGCACGAGGAGCAAAAAGGAATAGTCCATGATGCCGAGGAGGGCCGTTCCGTATATCTCGCAAATGATGCGCATGCATTGATTGAGGAAGTAGTAGTCTGATAGTCTGCCGTCATAAGCTTCAAAGGCACTACCGACTGCGTCAAAAACCCGCCACAAGTACATTTTGTATGTATGCAGTATGAATGTGCTTTGCGAGTCGAAGAGTGGCGAGGTGATGGCTTTTTCGATGGTTGGTGTGTGGGTTTGGAAGACAGGGTGACGAGAGGATGGTCGCTCTCCTAGGGATGGGAACATTGTCCCTTTTAATAGTCCAGGAAGAGCCGGAGAAAGACCACAATCATCCGTAAAGAAGATAGACCTACAAGAGTGGTCGAGGGATAGGCGAGGACCGTGAGTGCTGGCAAAGTGACCGGAGATGAACAGACGCTGCAGTCGCCATGGTTCAACGAAACCTGGCCAGACAGGTATCCTAGAACCATCAATATTTCGACAATGCCGCTCTACCCCATTTCTCAAGGAAGCCGTGGTTAATTAAGTAGAACCCCTCTTGTATCTGTTCGCACAGAAAGCTTTGGCTCCTTTCGCCAAGGCCATCGTGGATCATGCGTCTATAGGCATCGTCTGGCGTTGTGACTAAAGTTTGCCTTGCCTTCCTTCGTGAAAATTTCATCGAGAAAGATCGCAAGTGCCTTTTCGCCTAGGTCTTCAGTACAGGTGGAACTCTTGACGCCCTTCCACGGGTGTTGAGTTGATCCGTCTCGCGTAGCATTTGGTGTGATAGATCTGGTAGCCCTGACTGGTGGTCTGTTTTGCTTTATTCGCTTTAGAATAAACCCTGTATAGAAGAGGGCGGGAATGAAGGAGTTATAAGTGCTTAATTTCGGTCGATATGGCCCGCGGCATGATCTATGTAACCCAAGACACACAAACAGGTAAGAGACCTAGCATGCTTTCCACGACAACTTATAAGCTCGAGTATAGTCTCACTTGCCGGGCTTTGAGCCCGGGATACAGGCCAATGAACACTTTATATATGGCATCCGTAGATACGGTACATGACTACCAGCTGGGTGGGTGGATAGGTAAGTAGGTAGGTGATCGAACTAAGCAGTCATGCAATATAACCGATCTGTATCAAGCTCAATCTCGTACTAGCAGATACAAAGTACAAGTAATGGCTTCTTTCTATGTGTATGTGTACAGGATTTCCATCCAGATGCCAAAAGTACACGCAGGCGGACACAATCTATAACATGCTATTCTAATGCATCATAATCCGACTCCCTGAACTGGCCTCTTCAGCCGCATGACACACTCAGATGAGAAACATCCTCAAACCCCTTTTGACTCATTTCCCACCTTCGAAAAGCTCCTCCAAATCGTTTCTCTCGCCACTATGATGGACCATGTCATAAAACACGCCTCTCGCCTTATATAACTCTACCGGCCGTCCCGCCTCGACGACCCTTCCAGCCCCCATGACAACAACCGTATCATAGTCTGCAATCGTCCGCAGGCGGTGGGCAATCGTGACCAGCGTTCGGTCATCGCCGTCGCCATCCCCGTTGACCTCCCTCCTCAACACAGCCTGAATCCCCCTATCCGTCTCATAGTCCATGCTCGCCGTCGCCTCGTCCAGCAACATCAACCTGCTACCCCTTACCAACGCACGGCACAGCGACAGAACCTGACGCTGCCCATGGGAGAAGTTTTCACCCTTGGCATTCACCACCGTCGACAGCGCCAGCCTGGAAGAGTCATCGTCCCGCGCGACCACCGCATCATCCGCGTCAGTATCCACATCCGAAGACGGCTGGTACTGGAACGACGCAATCCCCTGACACGACTCAAGCGCCCTCTCAAGCACCGGCTCCGCAATCTTCCCCGTCGGATCGAGGTTCGTCCGCAGCGTGCCGTTGAAGAGCACAGCCTCCTGTGGGATGATAGTCAGCGCCTCGCGGAGGCGGCGGCGCGGGATCTTGGTGATGTCGATGCCGTCGTAGAGGATCTGGCCCGACACGATGTGTGTGAAGCGCAGGAGGGAGAGGACCAGCGTGGACTTGCCGCTGCCCGTGCGGCCGACGATGGCGACGCGCTCGCCGGCTTTGAATCGGAGGTTGACGTCTGTGAGGATGTTGGGCCCGTCTTGGTCGTAGCGGATGGTGACGTTGCGGAATTCGATTTCGCCTGTCGCGGGCCAGGTTGTGGGTATGACGTGGGTTGGGGTGTCGGTATATTCGACTTGGCCTTCTTCGGGGTAGGATTCATCGTCCTTTTCTTCGGTGTCGAGGCCGGCGTATTCTTTGATACGTACGAACTGATTTTTCCCCCCCGTCATTAGCTACCAGGATTCACTGACAAAAGAAAGGAGGGAAAGGGACGGAAGCAACTTACACTCTGCAGCTCAACCTCGAGATCGTTCATACTACGGACGAGACCCAGGATAGTCTGACTCAGACCAGTCGCATTGTGCAGCGAGAAACCCACCAGACCGGCGCCGACAAGGCCGGCCTTGTACACGGCAATGATACCCGCGCTCAAACCGACCAGGGCCGTGATGACATCGACGCGCATCGCGACCCACCGGTTACAGTTGAAGTGCGCCTCCGCCGCCCTAGACCAGACGCGAAGCTTGTCGGCGAGGTTATCGCCAAAGGTATCGGGCATCCCGGCCCGCGCGCGAATAATAGGCAGACCCGCGAGGGTATCCGCAAACTGCGAAAAGATGGGCGACTGCGAGCTCGCGACGAGGCGCTTGATAGTGACGGCGGTGCGTGTGTAGATCTCGCCGACGACGAGGCCGCACGTGGACGCGACGGCGGCGGGCACGATGAAGATCGGCATGATGGAGCTAATGGCAAAGATGCGGATGACGAGGGCGAGGGAGCTCTCGAGAAAGGCGCGGAGCTGCGGGCTAACGCTGAGGTCGAGCGAGGACATGTCGCTCGAGAAGCGGTTGATGATGCGGCCGACGGGCGTCTGCTTGTACCAGCTCAGGGAGACGCGCATGACGGCGCGGATGAAGTCGTTGTGCAGCTTGCGGGCGGCGTGCCAGGCGCCGTTCTCGAAGACGAGGAAGACGGCGGCGTAGAGGACCGACTCGGTGACGGTGACGGCGGCGTAGACGCCGAGGTAGAAGGCGATGTCGACGGCCGTCTGCCTGTCGTAGGCGTCTACCCAGACCGAGAGCCAGAGAGTGCCGCCCATGACGGAGAGCTGGGAGAGGAGCATCAGGAACATGCAGAATACGGCGTAGCCTGGGCCGCCAAAGTAGGTCATGTACTTGAAGACTGTATTTCCATAACGCATGTCAGCTTTGCCCCTTTGAGGGCTGTCAGGGGGCAACACTTACACATTAAACGGGCGCTCTTCCCGCTGGCCTTCATCTCCTGAGCAACCACATCCTTCGTCCCCTTATCGACGGCGACCTTGCTCGTGTCGTTGAGCGGATCCGTCTGCGTCTCGACTTCCGTGTCTGAGTTGTCGGACACCTCGGTGCTGCTCTCGCCCTCAATATCCTTCGCAACCGCAACCGGGTGGCGGGCGACACCAATGTTCTGCTCGACGTGCTTGACCGCTCCGTCCTCGAGAGTAACGGCGACATCAGCTTGGGCTGCAACCCAAGGCTGCTGCGCCACCAGGACCACGGTCCGCCCCTTCAACAAGTCAGAGCAGAAGCACCGCTCCCAAAGCGAGGCCGCCGTCTTGGCATCGAGTGCTGAAAAGATGTCGTCGAGAAGCAGCAAAGGCGCCTTGGAGTACAACGCTCTAGCCAACGCGACGCGCGCCTTCTGACCACCCGAGAGGGACGCGCCGTTCTCGCCGACAACAGTCTGATCACCGGCGTCCAGCTCCCGTAGGTCAACGGGGAGACAGCACGCGTTGACGACTCTGTCGTAGCGCACCGGCTCGAGGGGGCTGTTGAAGAGGATGTTCTCCTTGATGGTGTCGTTTTGCAGCCACGACGTCTGCGACGCAAAAGCGACGTCCTTGGGCCGCGTGATAGTACCGCCCTCCTTGACCGTCTCGCCCAGGATCGCAAGCAGCAGCGTCGTCTTGCCACTTCCGCTGACGCCCGAAACGACGTTGAGACCTCCTTGGGCAAAGTCGACGGAGAGGTCCTTCAACTGAAACGAGGCAGTCTTGTTGCGGCGGAAGGTGGCGTCTTGGATGCGTAGGGGTCCTTCGGGGTACTCGTCGAGCGGCGTCGTGGTGGCAAAGTATTTGTCGAGACGGCTGACGGCGATGGCAGCGCCGGTAATCTGGCGCGACATGAACGCAACCTGGCCGACGTTGCGGCGGATCTGCTTGACGAGGTACGTCGTCGTAAAAGCCGTAGCGGCCGTCATGGGCTGTCCGCAGACGCCGACGTAGAGGGAGAACATTGTAATCATGGAGACGTAGGGCACGAGGGCGCTGATCTGGTTGAGCATGACGAACGACAGCGACACGCGCCAGAGGTCGCGCTGCTCGCTGGCGCGGGCGTCCTCGATCGTCTCGATGATGGCGTCCTCCCACGCAAAGTATTTGACGGCGCGGATAGAGGCGAGGTACTCGGAGACGAGCGAGATGCGGGCGTCCTGCGCGCGCCGGGCCTTGCGGGTCAGCCGGCCCATGAGCCGCGAGATGGTGACGGACACGGGCGCGGCGAGGAGGAGGATCAACGTGCCCACGAGAGCGGGCCAGCCGAGCATCCTGTACAGGCCGATAACGGAGAGGATGGTGCCCACGGGCACACCGGTCCCGGCCATGACGACGTCGCGCGCGCCAAAGATGGCCTGCACGTCGGCCGCCATGAGGTTCGCCAGACGGCCAGCCGACGTCGTAGATCGCCCAGCCTCCTCTTCCTTCTTGTTCTTCTTCTTGTTCTTGTCCTTGTTCTTGTCCCCGGCGCCGTCGGGCTTGGGTGCGAAAATGTCCTCCTCGAGCTCCATGGACCCCATGGCGCGATGGTACAGCTCCTGCGTCAGGGCGGACCGCAGGCGCACGACCAGACGGGTCGACGTGAAGACATACTGCTGGAACAGGACAGAGCGCGACAGCGGGCCGCAGAACATGAGTACAAGCCAGAGCCAGGGCTTGACGGACGCGCCCTGGGGATCCGCGAGGTAGCCCAGAAGGTGGTACAGGCCGTACGGCGCGATGAGCTCCGAGGCGTAGGCCGAGGAGATGTAAAAGGCCATGAGGTTGACCTCCTTGCGCAGCAAATAGAACAGAGTCCACGTCGTTGTGACGCCCCTGGCCCTCGCCTTCTTGATCCGCGCGAGCAGCAGCAGCGGCTCGTCGTACCAGGGCAGCTGGGGCAGGTCCTCGAGGACGACCTCGCCGGTGCGCGCGCCCTTCCACATGACGGGCGTGAGCCACTCAAAGGTGAGATAGTAGTTTGCCCAGCTGCACGTCTCCTCGGGCGCGGGCCCGCGCTTCTCGTAGCCCTCGGGCACGGGCACGTCGTTTGCGAGCGAGGGGGGAACCCATTCCCTGGGCGTGATGACGGAGATCACCACGGCGGCGGCCAAGCTCGCGAGGCCGCCCTTGACTGGCGCCGCGACGGCGCACTCGGACGAGGCTTCGATGCAGGGCAGGGCAGAGGAGGCGGCGAAGATGAGGAGCTCGAGGCCGAGGGTGAAGTTGACCTGGTGCAGGGCGACGTGCCGCCACTCGAGGTCGTTGACGAGCCTCGAGAGGCCGAGGACGAGGGCGTAGGCGGCGACGAGGGCATTTAGCCAGGGTGTCTGGCCGCGGGCGGCCGCGAGGGCGAGGAAGGCTAGGGTGGAGGCGCGGACGAGCTGGGCGAGGAGTTCCCAGGGCCATCTGATGCTGGCGGCGCGGACAGTGGTGGTTGTGGTGGGTTGAGATGATGACGAGGGTTTGTTGCGGCGCTGGATGAGGCGCGAGACAATCCAGAGCGCAGAGATGGCGAGGACGAGGGCTTGAGGATATCCTGAGTCGGCGAGCTGGGTCACGTCGTTGATCCAGGGTAGTTCTGCATGGCTATTGAGGGTCTGTCAGTCATGTTCCTTTTCAACGTCTGCTCAAATACGTGGGAGCAATGGATGAGACTGGGAATGCCGACCACACGCTCTCACGCGCAATCACACATAAGATGTGCAAAAAGCACTTGATGACATGGATTCAGTGGGCTCTGAAACGAGCCCCGAAAAGAGTTCCGTGAGACTGTACGGCTGCCGTGTTTGCATCCCATATCTAGACCCAGACTCTTCCCCTTCCATGACCATATGGCGGTCAAGCTTCTGTGTGGAACTCACCTCTGAGCAGTCGCCAGGAAAGTTTGGGATCGCAATCGCGCCTCAGCCGCGAGCGCAAACACTCGCTGAGGTATGAGATCCATCATCGTTGAAGGGCGCGCAGCGAGGGGGGCGCCGTTGTCAGCCCCGTAGTCTCGTCTCTGTTGCGGCTTCTCGTGATGTAGGATTCTTGAAGACTGCTGCGAGCACCGCGTGTCATGAGTGAGATTGACGAAATGTCGATAAACGAAGGAGTGCGATTGATTCACTAGGGATCTCGTCCAGTAAAGTTCCCGTTCAAACGCAGATATGCAGCCAAGGCGGGAACAAAGTCTACGCAAAAGAGCGAAAGTGCTGCAATATATCAAAACATGTCAAGGAGGCATTCGTAGTAAAAGGATAGTAGAGAATCCCGAGACGTTGTATTCGTAAGAAAGGTCGATTAGATACGGCGAGACAGGGGATCCCTAGCTTCCTAGGCTGTGCACCCGCTCTCGAGCAAATAGGAAACAGTCAATTGAGGCCTTCTACCGGGGTCCCTCCCCCAGCTAGGCAGCCGGGCCTAGTTGGATGCGTTCATCCTCATTGCTCAAATGTTCGTTCGTCCATCCCTCCGGGGGTGTGGTTTGTGACGTGGGAGGGGCCGATTGCTGAGAATGCGGGCGGGAGTGATGACTGGCAAGAATGCTAGCAGCTAATGAGATGGGGTATCCGTGCCGTATTTGGGAGGGTCACCGGTTGCGAAAGCGGCATCCAGAGTGTTGCAATTCGACTCGACATGGATATTCCTCCCCGCCCTTGAATTTGCACATTTATCAAGTATTAGATCCAAGGCCTGGCCCCAGTTGATCGTCAACGTCAGATCGAAACCCCCAAATCTTCTCCTGTGCATTGGCTTTCACAAGGACGCCATTTGCGAGTTGCACTGGATGAATCAAGTTCCAGCGATAGAGCTCTCGGGCAACTTTGCCGGTCTCGGGACCGGAAAGTGGGGCATCCATAGGTATCAACATCCAAACGTCGGGAGCGGGTGCGGAATGGGGTTGCCGGCCGAAGCAGCAAGCAGCCCAGCGAATCACTGAACGCCACTCCCGTCAGTACCTGAGGACCTTTGGTACCTTTGAAAGGTCGGCAACACCAAAGTCCCAATTTCCAACATACCAAAGTTCCCAAGATACAAAGACGTACTTGCCTTTTAACGTACTTTCAGTTAGCCTGCTGATAAGAAATCTTGACTTGCATTATCCCAGAAAGACTTCGTTTGAGACGTATTTCCAGTTTCACGTCCATGCGGTCCAGAAAGGTAATATACCGTAGCGGGTGCCCCATTGCATCCCGTCCATCTAGTCATCTAGTTCCCGTCCCTTGTCAAAGCTTGGCACCTACAAGGAACCAAACTTCTCACTCCTCGGGACGGCCAAGTCCAGCCTATCTCACTTGCTTGAAACAACAGTTTGTCCCAGAGGCATCGTGTTTTCTCCACGAGCAGTATGAACGTCTCTCTGACTGCCGCGTATGTCGACTGCACTTTGCTCTACTTCCTATAATCTTTTATCAACTCCCAAGTATCTGTGAGAAGTCTATATCCGACGAGATGCTGTTTGTTGAAGGTATTTCTGAGAACATCAAGAAGTGCAATCAAGGATTAAGATCACGTCCATTGGCCCCAGCATTAAATGCGGCAACGCGGCGGCCGCTGCACCAAATCACCCCTACACCACATATATCCCATCCCCGCCTGTCAGCCTGCCTGCCTGACACCATCGGCATCTAGGGTCTCTCGTCGCTCAAAACGGCAGGTCCAGCTCCCTTACCACCGACATCTCATTGGATCATGGCCGTCACCTCGAGAGCTCATCGGTCTTTGGGAAATCTAGACATGGCAAATCGTGCCATAGCATCTTTTTGGGTTGCAACCATTTTCTCGCCGTTTTAACCGTGATTTATACCACTATGATAAGATTCGAGAGTAGGCAGCAATCACGTAACAGAGTATTCTTTTCAAGATTTCTCAAAAGTCCATGAAAGAAAGGCAAATGAACCATTTCGAGATAGAAAGATGGAACACCCCTACGTTTACTCTATTTTTAGGAGCCATGCTCGCTTTCTGAACACTCTTCACATCCTTTTTTCTCTGTTTCTTTATATAACGACTCAACATCAAATCCGAACTCTCGCTTCACGACACCATTCATAAAGGTCTCACACAAAACATATTGGCATACCGAGAGTAAATCTAATTATACGTTGATAATCTTTGCCCCCAAACCTATTCAAATTATCTGAAACATAATACACACTGTTTGGCCTCCTGGCCGTAGAAATCTGTTTTCGTCACATGTACTTTGTGTGTGATAATCCATCTTTCAATAGCCTCTCGCGCCTCATGGCCTTCCACGTTACCGTAGACAAAGAGACAAACAGAGAGAGACCGATAGATAGATGAGCACATACTCAACCACCAGTATAAAACGCCAAAGCCTCAACACACCCGGTTGGACTTTTGTTTCGCCCTAGAAACTTGTTTTGACGCCACCAGGCAATGCAATTAATGAGCGCCCCCTCCCCCGCCGTTCTTTCCTTTCCTTTGCTCTCCATTCTTTCCTCTCGTTGTGTGTCGAGAATCAAACATTAGGGAACACCCGCTGTCCAAAATAAAAACATTAAATGACGAAACCCCCCGCGGGTTTTAGTCTGCCTTGATTGCTCTGTCACACATGTCAGCTTCATTTTCAAGATAAATATAAAGGGGAGTAGGGGGAAGGTGCTTACCCGTAAATCCTCCGAACAAACGCGTACGCGCTCAGGAACCCGACCGTCCCCGTCAAGAGACCGTACACACAGCACGCCATGAAGCTGTAGCTGAAGAACAGCATACTACTCACGAAGCCGGTAATGTGCAGCTTGAAAAAGTAGTACCACACGCAGTACAAGAACACCCACACGGCACTGCCGCCGCCAACGGCAAACGACTGCCACCACCAGTTGTAGTTCTCGGCGCACAGCCGGACGTAAATCGTCACGACCGTCACCTCGGCGATCGTCACAATCAGAATCACCGACACCACGGCCAGGAACCCAAACACGTAGTAGTAGCCGCTCTTATCCTGCCAGACGGACTGGAACACGAACAACAGCTCGATGAAGATGACCGCAAAGGGAATCAGCCCCGCGAGCAGAACGGACTGCCACGACTTGATGTACCACGCCTGCCTGGGCACCTGACGGGGAGCAGCGCTCGTCTTGGTCGGATGCTCCCAGTTGCCGCTGCGGACGAAACCGATCCAGGAGCCGGCGTAGACGAGGGGCACCTGGATGCAGAGCCAGAGGAAGATGATGGCGACGAGGGTGCCGAACGGGATCGCGGTACTCGAAGCCTGCGCCCAGACGAATAGGTTGAGAATGAAGACGACGCCAAAGAGGAGACCCGGGAAGAGGACGGCGGTGACGAGCGCGTTCTTGCGGAAGTCCTGGCCGTCAAAAGTCTTGTAGACGCGCGCGGAGAAGTAGCCCGAGAAGAGGCCGGCAAAAACAAACAGGCCGACGCCGACGCTGATGAAGCCGCCGCGGAAGCTGGGGTTGAGGACGCCGAGGGCGCTGAGGAGGACGAGGCCCACGGCCATGAAGAGCAGCTGCATGCCGGAGCCGACGAGCGGAGCCAGGAGGTAGCCATAAAGGGGCGTCCGGAAGACGTCGGCGTGGAGCAGCTTCCAACCCGTGACGTCCTCGAGGGCCTCTTCGTCGGATGACACATCGGCGTCATTTTCGGCGTCAATGCCTCCTCCCTGGTCGAGCAGTCCGCCAGTCTTTTCTGAGAGTCTGGGAGACTTGCTTCCGGTCGTCTTCTTGCGCTTCAGCTTCGGCTTGCCGTCCTCGAGAGGCACCTCCTTGTATCCCTTGATATCGGAGCGGATCGTCCTTGCGAGGATCATCAGGACGATGCCCGTGAGCAGACCGCAGATGATGAGGGAGTTGACAATGGCCAGCCAGTGGATCTTTTGGCCCTCCTCCTGGTTGACAAAGTACAGATCCCATCGGCGCGACCACTCGACGTTATTGTCCTCGCGAAAGTAGACAGAGTAGGTGTAAGGTACGGTCAGCTTGGCGCCATCGTCAGCGAGGTCCTCATCGTCGTCGGCGGGATGGTACGAGGAGTCGAGGTTCTGCTGCTGCTTCGGCGTCTCGGAAGACTTGTTCGGGGCGAGGTAGAGCTCAAAGTTCTGGTCAATGTTTTGCAAATCCGCGGGGCACCCGTTGTCGTCACGCTTGTTGTTTGGGCCGATGCTCTTGGGGTACACCTCGAAGCCGACGACTACTTTACCGCCGCGCTCACCGGCCTTCCCGGGGGCCCTGCGCCAGCGAACGACAATGGTGTGGTGGTTGTTGAGGAAGTAGCGCGGCTTGCCGCTGCTGGCCGAGTAATCCGTGAAGCCGAGCTTGAAGCCGGCGGCGTAGTACTTGCGGCTCTTGTCGACGGTGACGAAGCTCGTGGCGCCTGGGAGGTTGTCGACGATCCACTCGGTTACGTAGCCATCGTGCACCATATCCTTTGCGCGGCGCATATCCTTGCGGCTCATCTCGCGGTTGCACAGCAAATTGCACGGCTTGTCCTGTCCGACGACCAGGTCAATGTCGGATGTCTTGATCCTGTCGCCGCGGAGAACCTCGCCAAGGTTCAAGGGGATGCTCTGTCCGCTAAGAAGTCCCGTGCCGGGCTTGCGCTGACCCGTCGGCGGGCACACGAAGGGGAGGTCGTAGTAGGCATACTGCAGCTGGGTATTGTCGGAGTAGACCTTGTTCACGAGCAGGGGTACCTGCTCGCCGTCCTTGTAGCTCTTAATCGACCAGCCTATAGTTTTGTTCCGAGGTACTGTCAGCGGGCAATTGCTCGAGCGAGAGATAGAGGTTTGAGGTCATGAGCTGGGGCTTCTTTCTGAGGGCGCCGAACCTGGAATGTAGAATGCGTCGGCTGGTGCGGCGAGCAGCAGGGAGACGAGGCACCCCAAGCCGGCCTTGAGCACCTGTCGCATCGTGATATGGTAAGGTGTTTGCGAGTTCGTCGTCGTCAGATTATATCCGCATAGACCGTCTCGGCGAAGCTTGTGTAAGTGGTGAAGAGGTGTCCAGATAAGAGAGGCGACCTGTCTTCTGTGGTGTTGGTGGTTGTAGTGTATTCGGGGTACCCTTTCGGATTCGAGGGAATTGAAAGACGAATGAGGATAAAATTAGCCAAGTCAGGAACGCAATCAAGGTAAGACGAGTCCGGTCGCGTTCAGGTTCAGTCGAGGGTCCGTGGCTGCACGGTGTCTCTCTCCGCGCCACGCCGCCGCAAATGGGTGGGAGGGCGGAATTCAAAAATTGGATCGGACTGGGCTGCGCAGATGTGCCGTCCCGAAGGATCGAAAGAGGAGGATCTCGGGAGGTAAAAAGGTGAGGTGAGGTAAGCTGAGGTGGAAACGAGTGGAATCGGTACCAAGTACCCAAGAAGAAGTCTAAAAGTAAATAGCTAGTATCAAGCTTCGAAATCTAGAACTTCCGTCTCGTTGGGGATGACGCAAGTGAGCCCGCCGTCGGCCGTTATCGTTTTTGTTTCGAAACCGGGTTCAACCTTGGGTGAGAGTGGGAGAATGAGAGGACGAGTTGAGATGTTGTTGGAGGTAGGTAGGTTGAGTGGCGGGAGATAATGCGCGCGGAACGGGGGAAGAGGAACAAGAGGAATACAAGCACAAGCACACACTCCAGATGGAAGGGGGGGAGGGGATGAAGAGGCAATTGGAAGAAACCGAGGACGTTAACAGGACGCAGCTGGCAGATGGAGGAGGTCGGGACGGAATCGGCGGGAAATAAGACCAGTTCACAAGGGGGAGGAGATGGAAGAGCATGGGAATGAGAATGGAAATGGGAGATTCACTGGGGATTGCATTGCATGGCATGGGCACGCCGCACATGGGCTGCAAGCATGGGGATGGATGGTCTGGTCAGGATGGATGGATGGGTGGGGGGGGGATCGATGATGGGCGCACGGTTCAAGACCACTTTACGACCATGGAGAGGTGAAGCATCGATCAGAGAGAGGCCCGGAATAATTCAAAATAAATTGCTTTTAATCATTCACCTCAATGTGAGATGCCGTCTTCCAGCGTAGCATCGCGGCCGTCGAGTGCCATCCCTCGATGCAGTCCCCATCCGGCATCTTGGGGGACCCATCTTCCCCTCTCTTCTCTTCCGCAGATACTTACTCTTCGTACAGATAGATACCTTACTTCACGTTCTGTAGCTAACACCCGTATCTCAGGTTTCTGACGGATAGGCACGCTTCCCTACGCGCTTCAGTTCCTATCTCGCGCCTGCCAAGACCACATGCCTCCCAAGCACTCAAGACATCAGGCGGGATGGATGGCTTATCGCAAATCACCAATACAATCCGTACCTTGAAATTCTTTCCAACACCCGCTCACCCAATCCCACGAACGCAAGCGGTAGCACAGGCATTTCTGCAGGTTAAGACCCCCCCCCCCCAAGAGGAGACGGGAGTGCGCCCCAACCCCTATATCTGCCGCCGCCCGCTGTCCCGCCGCACCAATCAAGCGCTGCTGTTGGGGAAGCTAAATCCAACCGACACGAGGGGTTCACTTTCACTCTTTGGGCAGGTCGCAGCCAAGATGAAAGGGGTGTCGGTCTCGTCACGTGTATTGTTATCCAATGTGCAATTGCGAGCACTCTAATGATTATTGATTAAGACGTGCAATTGGCATTGTGGGAGAAATCCAACATCTAGTAAAAACGACGAATGGCTGGCTATTTGTGCACAGCTGACCTCACCTCAGAACTTGCGCATCAGCCTCATCCTCAGCTTACAAGCCTTCGACTCACGAGTCGCCGCACTAGAAACGGTGCCATGTGGAACAGGCGATCGATCCTCTTGGTATGGGCAGTTTACGCGGCTCCCGCTTCCCTTAGTCAAGGTGCTATCAATAGAAACACAGGACAAACCACTTCTGTCCTTATAAACCCCTCAATGACGATCACTCCCTCCCTTGAATAAACAGCATCGGGAGAGTGGGCTGTCATATTGTCCGCAGTGACAGGCCGGTGGTAAGACCAACAAGATATCACCACTTCCCCATTTCCAATGTCACGGAGGAATCGCATGCACTGATGCAGCTTGTCAGGTCATGCCAGTGCCAACTTGTGCCGGATAGTTACACCCACATTTCCTCCCCCAAATCCCCTCATTTGCCCAGCGACTGCCCAGCCACTGGCAGTGACCTTCCAGTCCAAGCTTCTTGGGAGAAAAAAAGTTGATCATGCTGGGCGTCCGGGGACAAGAAGCAGGAAAAAAGCGGGATATCTGCAAAACTCCACCGCAATCTTAGGACTGGAAGGACGAGGGGGGAATCCATGGGCCTAGAACTTTCTGGGTTGTCCGGCACCCTTCTCCCGTCTTTCGTCTCCACCTTTCCGTCCGGCACCGGCTCCTCGGGTGCCGGCCCCTTCACCTCCAGTGCCATCATCCTGTCATCGGGGTGCCGCACACTGCCCCGGGCCGCCTTCTCCTGGCAATTCCAGACCAGAGACGGATCCGGCCACTGATTACGGACTATAACCGTACGGCCCATCTCAAATGCGCCGTGTGGGGTCAAGCATCATTCGAATCCGTCTAAAACTAGGCTCTAGACGTTGAGGTCGGTGTCTAATTTCCATCAATTTTCTTGTACCAGGTATGATTCACCCTTCTATACGCGGGTAGACAAGTTTCTTCCTGTTTGGAAATTCAGTGCCAAGGTAAATAGGCAGGCTTCATCAGGTTGTATAACGGAACAGTCGACTCCTCGGCAAGGTCACACACAAGAGCCCCGGGGTTGAGTGATTTTGTCATATTATTACTAAGTATTGATGTGTTTGTCCAATTTGCCTCTTGCTCTTTGGGTATCTTCAATTCCAACAGACAAAAATTCCAAATGAGTAGCAGAAATACACCAAGTCGAAGTATCCCAAATTTTTAATATCCAAAACTCCAGTAACCAACCAGCTTGATCCTCTACTGGTATCATCTCTTTCGAAACATTGAAACAAAGGAAATTGCTGAAAAAGTGGTATCGTCCGTGAAGGAATACCCCCATAAGTCGTAATTCGTCAAAACAAGGAAACAAGAGCTCAGACTGCAAAAACCTTAAGCAGCAGAGACCTCGCCTCGCCTTGCAGACAGATCGCCGTAGCTGGGCAACACAGCAGTGCCCTGAAATTCGGGTGCAGGTTGCTGCATCAATCTCGGCTGAAGGAACGCATCGGCGTCCGCCTCTTCTTGCTGCGCCATCACGGCCTCGAAGCTGGGAAGACCCATGTCGAGCGAATCGAGCTGCACAGGCGGCTCGAGGGCGATTTGCAGAGGGATGTTCAAGTTGATCTTGGAATCGCCAACGATCAGGGTCAACTGCAGCGTGTAGGTGCGGGAGATGAGGCAGGCGTGGAAGGTCGGGATAAAGGTCTTTCGGGCCGTGGGTAGCTTGAAAGGGATCTGGAGAGCGGCCTTGTGGAAGATGGGAGAGGAGCGATCCTTGCTCGAGCGGCGGCTGTTGCTCTGGCGCTGACTATCCGAGTCGGAGGGGCTGCCTTCACGCAGGCCATCGCTAGAGTATCCGGAGTCACGGCGAGTGGTGGAAGCCAACTGCTGGCGCCAAGCAACCTTGCCGACTGATGTCGAGAAGAGAGAGACCGAGGTCTGGTATGCGAGCTGCTGGGTCATGGCATATGCCTCTTGACTGTTTCCCATGTTGGGGAGCGATGACATGGGTGCTGCGCCATACCAGGTCTGGGCTTGGACCTTGGCCGACACGGTGCTGACCTTGGGAGGCAGGATATCGGCAGACGTAGGCTCGAAGTTGAGGTTGACCAGGACTGAGCCCTCGGAGGCTCCGCGGCCGTCGGCAGTCAGGTAGACAGCACCGGGCTGGGCGGTTGCAGCTGTGACAGTGCCCTGCTTGGAGGAAAAGATGTTCTTGCGAATAGTCTTAGTCTTGCTGAGGGCGTAGTTCCTGTCCTGCTTGGTGATGTTCAGGGGCGGGTCCTCGGGGGATCGAGGGAGAACTTTGATGTGGTGGGTGTCTTCCATGACCTTGGTCGGCTTTCCACCGAGCTCGTCCTGTCGCACAACGCGGGCCTTGATGACATACTGAATCTGGGCCATGTCAGGAGCCATATCGTCCCTCTCCCAGCCGCCCATAGTCGGGGGCAGGCGCATGTGGTAGTCTTGGATGTAATCGGACTGGGCCTTGTGAGTGCAGGCGCTCAGTGTCAGTTGGTGGGGGATGACAAAGTTGAAGGGAATGGTGTAAGCCCTGCCGGCCTCGAAAATCCGGGGTACGGGGTAGGCGGATGCGGGAATGGGCATCTCGAGCTTGAGAAAGGTGTGAGAAGAGAGCTGTGGAATCTGAACGGCATCAAGGCGAGTCCTTGAGATGCCAATAAGGATAATCTGGACAAAGTCGAACCGGCTGTCATGGCTGGGCGTGATTGTGACCTCTCCGGAAATGGGGTTGCCCGATGTGTAGACCTTGGAGCTATAGTGGTCGTTGATCTTGACCTCGATGCTCTGCTTCCTGGTGGAAGCAGGCTGTCGGGCAAAAGAGATGACCGAGCTCATGTCACTGTGGCTCGACATTTTGGCTGATTGTTGATAAATGGAGCTGGCTGGGTGTGACGATGACGATGGTGGGAATGTCCCCGAGGTGGGGTGTAGCTTATATGTATATAGACGACGGCTTGAGTGAAGATCCCCCAGATATTGGATGGGAACCAGATGGAGTCTTGTGAGTAACGATATGGTAATGAAACCAAAGTTGAAAGCCTGTGAGTGGTACGGAGAAATATAGACATTTCCATGGCGAGAGGGTGGGCGAGGCGTGTCTCTTTAAAGCCGGGTCAAAGTCAAGGATGGGAAGGGAGAAGATGGATGGGCAGAGGTGCAATGCAGCAGCATGTTTGTTTGACTCGACTCGACTTGAGCAGATCCATGGCAGCAAACGCCAGGGCCGGAAACAACCTGGAGACCCTCCACCGTTGACGTCTTTGCACTTGCAAAGGGCGGGCTCCTCATCCTCAGCCTGCGTGATGGAGGGAGGTGGGAAAACGTACCGGTACCTGGCCAAGGTACATGTGGTACTACGGGTGAGGTACCGAGAGTCGACCTGGGAACCGACCTAAGAGTGAGGTGGTGGGTGGCAGGCAGGCAGGTGTCCGGGCGGGAGACTCGCGCTTGCACGGGCAGTGGCCGACGGGAACTTGAACTGTTGACCGGCTGTTCAGTGTGTTCGGAGTGCAAAGGAAGACGAAAAAGTGGAGAAGAAGACAGAAGAAACAGAAAATCTGAAGGATGGGATCCACTAGAATGGTGGATGGCACGGCGGATGACTGGCGCTCCCAAAGACGAGCTTGGGGGTGCTTGGTCTCGACAAGTGACGCCCTTCCTGTCGAGCTTACCTTATACAACTACCTATCCGTATGCGCTAAAGACCCCCGACATCCATTCCCTCTGTGACTCTCTAGACTGTACGGAGTCGCCCAGCGGTTGTTGGCCGCAACTAGGTGGAGACTCCGAGACTCCGACCCTCAAAAGGTCGCCAACAGCTGTAACAAAACGGCGTGAAAGGCGTGAATGGCAGCTATGACTCCGTCCCCTACTCCGCAACTTCCCTGGGCCATCCAGGTTTCTCGTCCCCGGTTCTCTAAAGTAAGCTAAGGTATTGAATACCTATTGAAGTTACCTATATTACCTAAGCTCCCGCAATTGAAGATGTATTGATATGAAAGTCCATTGTTGCACAGAGAATGTAGCAAGTGCAACAGACTCTGATTTCCAATGCTCCAAATGATGCCATGCAGACCATGCAAGACGCATCCAACCCCAAGCTCATCTTTACACAGTAATACCTCTATTGTGTCTCCCTGCTGTTTCAAAATTAAAGGCTGCTTAGAATTCTTTCAGATTGGTAATCCAAGGTTGGGAATCTCAGACTCAACTTTGCTAGCGTGTCGCACTTGCTCGCCAAAAGAGTCATCATGTCAACTTGGACGTCGTGGAAAGGCGCGGGACCCGCTTTAACATGACAAGAACCGAGCAGGACCCTTTGACTGGACCTTCCTCCACCGTAACACACGGCGCCGATGATCGGCAGGTGCTCCTTGCAACGCACCTCACTTGCTTTGGGAAGAACGAGACAGCAATTCCCGCCGACTAACTTCAAAATGCCAGCTAAGGTGGTGAAGCAACCCAATAGGCTCTGAATCAAGGGAAACTTTCATCTTGCCGACCGATGCTTCGGACATGCATCTCCACCCACTCGGATTTCCAACCATCGCCAACGGAACCCGGCTCAAGCCTCTGGTACAGTCAGTCTGCTGACATGACGGATCAAATTCCACCCTGATGACTGTGACGCCAGCGCCAGCTAATTAGTGAAAGCTCAAAGCTCCCGCCGATCGCATGCTCGAATTGACAATGGCCAACAAGAACCAAAACAGTGTAAACAACACGCAGCCCGCCGAGGCACTTGGCTGCAACCTTGGCCGAGAACCTGTCGTACTCTATCCGTAAAAGCGCGTTATTCCGTTGGATCGACAGCCAACTATTGTCTCTCATGCATACTCAGGCCACTGATATGGCTCCATGCCCTGCTGCCGTCACGCTGTCGTCCAACCCCAAAGAGATAGTCAGCCGAATCTCCCAGCGCCCTACCGGATGACATTGACGCAAAAGACAAAGATTGCACTAGCACCTCTTCAAGAACCTTTACTTGCAACGTCGCGGACCACTGCTCTCGGAGCTCGATCGGAGCCGTGCCAGACTCCAGCCGTTGCTATCTCCAGACTGGGGAATGGGGAATCGGAATAGAGCTAAGAGAGCCGCCCCCGCGACACCACGCAAGAAGCAACTCAAACCGAGGGCAATGCGGGCACGCGGGGAGCAATCATGGGATTCAAGATCCGCGACCCCAGCAATCTGTCAACAGCTGCAGCAGACCAGCATCCAGACTGTCACACTGTTATCTGCCTCTCGCATCAACAACTCACCATCGCCCCCTGCGGCCTGCTACTTCTTTCAACACCAAGCTGTGACAAGACGCACAAGACAGCAGGAGAACCACAGCTGGGTAGCCAGTGGCACACTTCTCAGCCTACTACCGAGGAGAAGCATTGTTCGCTGTTCTTCAATGATCGACCTCAATCGCGTTACCAGTCCGACACCGCTGTCCCAATCAGCAGCTTAAACTCGTTCTACCACCCTCCACGACGACTGCAGGCAAGGGTGGGAAATTTCCTCCCCTAGCTCTTCACTTCGTCATGGCTACAATACTCAGTCACACGCACCAGGCGTATTTTCAAGCATGGGAGTAGGTGTGTCGTTGGTTGAAAAATCCCAAGCCCGTCGAACAAACAAGGGCGGCCTGGGTAAACTGACGAAAGGTACAAGCACCACGACAAGTACAACAAGTATCGCAAGTACCTCTACCTCGAATCAATCATTTTCACCCTCAAACACACGCGAGGTGGATATCGCAATCCAGTGGACAAACGACGTGGATGAGAAAAAAAAACTAATTCAGTTGCAAAGTTCGCAAAAACACACGACAACCGGCTGGGCTTTACGTACACGGAATCGATGTCTAATGAGATCCATCCAGGGGCGCGGCGCTTTGCCTTTAGGTGCCTGGCGGCTGGTGCTGGCATTACACGAGATCCATGCCATCGGGTCCCCTTGACGTACACGGTCGAAGGTGGATTCCCGCGGCGGAGGCACATCGGCCACCCGGTTCGGCCTCCCGTTAGCGGTCGATGCGCTCTGTCAAGCCGGTGGATCCCCCGGTGGTCTGGGGCCCTGGAGGTTGCCCTGATCCATCTCAAGGGTGCGCCTATGGGGGCGTGCCTCGCGAGTTCTTAACGTTAGGGGACGCCGAAAGTAGTGAGATCCATCAGAGCTACGACCATGACCATCGTGAAGTGAAAATTTTACATTTGATCCCACGCTTTCGAAGTTTCGAAGGTCTCGAATGGCCACTCGCCAAGGTAGTGGCCGCATGGACCATTGGATGGCACACACACATGGAACATGCAAAAGAACAAATACAGAGGAGCTATTACTGTCACATCACGAATCGTCAACCAATTTGGGAACGGCAGGAGAGGCCCCCGGGCGTACAGCTGACCACGCTGCCGCCTACCAGGAGCGCAATTGGATGTCAAGCAATACCAGCCGCACGACGATGGTGAGCTTATGACTGATGAGATCCATCGGGACGATGACGCTAGAATGCATGGAACGCTTGGATGGAAGGCTGGAACGAGCCAAGTACGTCAGGCCAAGGCACGGGAGCAAGCGGATCTTGAAAGTTGAGACAGGACAACTTGAGGCTCCATCGCGGAACAGGATGGGGCTCTTCGGGTTACAGCCTACGGCGTAACACCGCCTGCGATGCTGCATGGCCGTGCTGTGCGGCTCATCTGTGAGCAGCAGCTAGAGCCGCCGTGAGGTTCTAATCGACTGACCCAAACCAGGGGTGCATACGGGAAGCAGGCCAATGTTGAGCGGGCATTCTTGAGAACAAAAGGAGACAACTGTGGGTTTGTTTGATGTGGGTTGTGGATGTCAGTGATGATGGTGCAATACCATGAATATCCCAAGCACGATATCCACTTTCAGCCGACGACAAACGAGCCGTGGATGGCCGCGGTGCGGTCTACGATGGCACATGGGTATCTACGATGTCGACAGTCGGGGCTCGGACAGCGTGGTTGAAGTTTTTTTTTTTCGAGAAAAATTTTACGAGCACTTTGTTGCCTCTTTGCGAAGAGTGGAGTGCCATAAGCGCCATCTGTCCAAGGGTAAAAGGACCCACGATGCGCCTTTGGATGGACAGCACTGGAGACATCCTGGAGACATCCCACGCTCCGGAACGAGAGTCCGGAAGTATTACCTAACACTCCCGTCAACCGCCCTTCCGCACATGGCCTCATGGCCAAACGTCTTTGGCCAGACCCCCAGCGGGCCAACGATGATGGGATTCCGCCTCCAATCGGGACGGGGAGATCCTTCGGACGACGGATGGGACAACCTTTTTTCACTTCCAGGTCATTCCCGAACCAAAAGGCGTCATGCACACATGGCCATGCACGCACCCACATGAAGGTGTAGGCAGAGACTCTGCAAGTCAAGCGCAAGACTCATATTAACTCAGGCGCCCAGGGCGCCCAGCCGTTCTCATGTACACCGCGCCCTGCAGGGCGCCTCATGTCAATGTCGCTATTGCGCTAGGCGGTGGTAGGCCACAGGCGTGGACAACAACGCATAGGTATTACTTGGGCAGCTCCCGGTTCATTGGCGACCAACCCAGAAGAGACAAGAGCTGACCAAGCTCTTTGATGAATAATTGTCGTCTTTTGCTACACCGGAAATCATAATCCTCGAGGCTGAGGTGAACCAAGACACCATCTCTGGGACTGTCTTGCGTCAACCCTCTCGACATTTGCTCATCAAGCTCATGGCGTGCTTTACAGCCGCAAACTTTCAGACCGCCCAGGAATTGCATCATACACATCTCCCCTGGTTCCATCTTGCCTGAGTATGCTGAGGTAGCAAAGCGGCCAGGCCAAGCTTGAACAACACTAGGTACTCCGTACAGAGTGTGATTGCATGCAAAAATCACAAGTCTACTCGGAAAACTCAAAGGCTCATTGAAACAACTGGAGTTCACCCCGGCCTTGACAAGTTTATTCCTTCGTGGGGAACAGCGTCGCGTGTGTGTATTGATTAGCTTCCTCCCTCCCTGTTCAAGAAACTCAAACGCAGTAGGTTCCTCTACATTGTCTACTTCTCCTTACCCCAACTTTTGACGACGACGACGACGCCGCCACATGCCTTTTCTTGCGCCCGCACTTCTACCAAAGACGGTCAGACGGTCAGACGGTCAGGACTAGACGATCCGTCAACCGAGTTGTTGGAACATGGGTTTTCGGACGGTCTCTGCTATGGGATGCGCCAGTTTTGGTTGGAGTTGGTCATGCTTTCCTCGTCCTCAGCTTACCTACTTTAACCGTATGGATGCCGCTTGACATGTCTCCAGTCTTTTCCAGAGGTAAAGGTTGAAGAAGGCTTGGCGACGGCTTGCTTTCAAGTCACTTTTTGGCCGGAGCAATACCAACTCATAGCAGTGATAGACGGTCTTGCACGGTCTATTGTCTCTATATATTCTACATTGGACTTACGCCTTTTTTGGCTTTTTTCCAGCAGTCAGAACTTTATCTAACGTGAGGCATGTTTACATGTGCACGTAGGCAAAAAGAATTTAAGCATCATTTAAAAAAAGGGGGTGCATTCATCTAGTCGTGCCACGAGATGTACAGCATGATGCCGGCGCCGACAGCGATGGCGGCAAACTGGACGAGGGTCTTGCGCAGCTCGGCCATCTTGTTCGGGCCGGTCTCGAGGAGCTCGGGGATAACGGCGACGGTGCCCACGTAGAGGAACGTGCCCGCGGTGAAGGGGAGAAGCAGGTCGCCCAGGGTCTGTTCGTCACAGTCAGCACATGTAGTCGTCACGCAGGGGTAATTTGAAAACCAATGAACCAGGTCAAGTTCCAGAAGTCTGCAAGAGGGAGGAAAGAGAAACTCACCAAGCTGGTACCCCAGAGCCCCGCGTTGCGCGGCATACCGCCCTCGCCGGAGCCGGAGCCGCTGCCGCCGAGCTCCTGGACGGCGATGCCGATGAGGGTGCCGAGCAGGGCGCCGAGGGCCGTGACGAACTGGGCGCCCATGGCGGCGCGCTTGCTGAAGCCGGACTGCACGAGGAGGGCAAAGTCGCCGACCTCGTGGGGGATCTCGTGGAAGAAGACGGCCACCGTGGTCGTTGCGCCGATGGTCGGGGAGGCGTAGAAGCTGGCGGACATGGCGAGGCCGTCTGTGATGTTGTGCGTGAAGTCGGCGCTGGAGGGGGGTATAAAAGTCAGTACAGAGCAAACCACAGTCATTTTAGTAGAATTCGTTGCCTAATTGGCCGGAGGAGAGTAGGTCAAAGGAATGGGCCGTACATCAGGTTCAAGTAGCCTCCGAGTCTCACGCTGGGGTTCATCTCCTTCTCCGACTTGCTCACGGCGCCGTCGGGTCCGGACCCGGAGTCGGTGCCGGCGCCGCCCTTCTTCTTGCGCGAGGTGACTTCGCCCGCCTTCTCCACGGCAGACGATACGCCCTCGGCCTTGGCCTCCCCGTGCTCCTGCGCGTGCGAGTGTCCGTGATCATGCGAATGCCCTGCCCCGCCCGTAGCGATCCTCAACCCCTTATCCATGGCCACGAACGTCATGAAGCCCACCAGGATCGCGACGCCGAGCAGCAGGTTACGGTTCGGTTCGACGAGCACTAGGCGCGCGCGCTCGGGCTCGTCCTCGCCGAGGAAGATTTCGGGGAGGAGGTGGAATAGGGTGTCGCCCATGAGCCCTCCGACGGCGAAGGCGACCATGACGGAGAGGGAGGAGGGGTCAATGTCGGTCGGGCAGAGGGCGAGGAGGAAGTTGGGCGGGCCGGAGATGTAGAGGGTTGCCAGGAGGGCGTTTACGGCGGGGGAGCCGGGGAAGAGGGTTCCGAAGGCGCGGGAGAGGAGGGAGGGGGTTTCGGAGAGGGAGGCGAGTTTGGACGAGGTTAGGGATTGGACTATCGAGCATTGCTGGGCATCGCATGGTCAGTTATGAAGCTCTAGGCTGATGATTTTTTCGATGCTCTGAGCTCTCTCGTGGGATTCGATCGGGTTGGCCTTCGTCTTCTTCTTCTTCTTCTTCTTCTTCTGCTTCTTCTGCTTCTTCTGCTTCTTCTCTTCGCACTTACCTGCAGCTGCTCGTCAATCTCCTCGAGGCTCAGCGATGCCACGGGTTTGCTCGTCAGACCAATTTTCTCGGCGACGGTGGAGGCGAGGCCGAGCTGGACCATCAGGAAGAGGGCCCAGAAGGCGGGCTTCCAGGAACGAGCCATTGTCGCTGTCGTTGCCTGTGAAGTTCGGAAATTTGATTTTTGAGGGTTTTCTCGAGCTAGATCTCGTGTTCAATCTCACCGTGGTCAAACGATTAACGGGAGAGAGGTGGATGTGGGGAAAACGAGTGGAAGCTCTCGATTGCACGATGAGAACTGTCGAAAGAAGCGAAGAAAGCTGTGGCGGTGATCCTAACACTTGTTGAGATCTCTCGTTGCCTACTCCAATTTCCGCATAGTGCAGAAGGCCCCCCTCCTCTCCCTGGATAAGCTGTCATCTCATTCCTCCTCCAACCTTGGCGAGCACGTCCGCTGCCGCTGCCGCTGCTGCTGCGCGCTGCAGTGCCGGCCGAGGGAGACCACTGTATTTCCGACCATTTTTCGGCCGGGGAACGCTTGCGCCGATGACCGGTGCGAGCTGTCCAGTAGGTGCTTAAGCCTCGCTGGAGGAGCTGCTGGGAGCTGAGAGACAGGGTCGCGTGCCCGCTGATTGTGAGGTGCTGCTCGATGGAGGGGGTAGTGCGAGCTTGCTGTGCAAAGCCGAGAAGCATAAAAACGCCGCTATGCCGTTTTCGGGATTTATTGTGCAAGTCTTGCATCCGATGTTGGAATTGGCAGGATGAACTCATCAATATTACTACCCGATAAGCGATATGGGATGGAACTTTTTTGGTCCAAGGACACGGTCAGAGTTGCCAATGATATTTGGAAACAGAAAGTGCAAAAGGAAGGGGGGTCTCGAAGCATTTATGATTGTTTTTTTCTCGACACTCCTGCTTGGACCTTAGGAGAACGGACTAAAGCTCTTGGTACTGGGAAAGAAGCTGGGGGCTCCCGAAGTTTCGAGTACCCGGACGGGTCGGTGACCGTTTCCACCACCACTTACCGCGTACTTAACGACATTCCCTCTTCAGCTCGTGGGACTCGTGGGAAAGAGCAAACGGCAGGGTCTGTTTGGCCAATGCCGTTGCGGATTGTTTTGAGCACTGACTGAGGATGGGTAATGCTTGGGAAGTGATGGTCCCTGATTTGCTGGGGAGCGCTGGGAGGTTGCATCTTGCTCTTCGGGATGTGGGAGCGGAGGCGGGTGTCATCGAGCTTTCTGGGGGTGAGTTCTGACGTCGCTTCGGTAATCAACTTTGGCGAGCTCCTCGACGCCCTATCTGTTGACTGTGATCTGTTCATCTGATCTCCATGAGTTGTGTAAAGTGCCATTGGCTTTTTCGGAATGGTGCGAGAGGGCCGTATGCTATGTGCGCCATGTTGCATATCCAGGAAAGAGCACGCATGACATCTATTATTCTAGCTGGATTTCAAAAATGAAAGCCCGAGAGCTGTCTCCATGTTCTCTCCGGGATGGATAGCCCATGTTTTATAGGCTTGAAGTGGCCCAGATTTCATAGAAACCAGGATCTCGAACCGGCACCCTCCACCAAGAAGCACCTACCGAGCGACCAATGATCTTACGCTAGTGACTCATCGTTTGGGGCTCTAGAAACTACAGCAAAGCCTTGACTGCCAGGTCTCCTGCGTTTCTTTGCGACTTCATCCCCATGGCATTCCTATAACTATACTCCTCATCATGGGAGCGTTCCTGCAGATGGCTTCGATGTTGATCATGATTAACATCTTCTCTGGTCCTTGGAGGCCGCATGCTTTGCGATGGACACCATGTAAGGAGGAACATTTGAGTAGACCGTACTTTATAGTTCCACTCGATTTGACTGAATATATTATTTCGGCTTGTCTGTAGAATTCTTTAGATCACACCTGAAACTCAGTGACACGACTTCTGAGGCAGCCCGTACAGAGCGTTCATTGATCGGTGAACGACGAGGAGACAAGGTCTCGAGTAAATATGACCCGGTTCACTAATTTGCTCGCAGCTTATAAAGTATTACATAAAAGACGTTGGCCTGGGTCTGGAATCTAACCTTAGAAAATGAGACTTCGTTCTGGTCTTCTGGGTCCGTTCGGGTGCGAAGCCTTCTTTCTGGGGTCCTTGGTCTTGGGCGATGTAGATTGGGGAAATGCAGCGAGATTATCGTAGCCAACATACATACTAACCAAGAGTCATTCTAGACACCCTTTTTCTCGTCCCGTCATTCGTTATATCGAACGTAGTACATGACGAATACGTGAGGAAGCCCGTCGGGGCCGTCGGGATGTACGAACCGCTGGATCTCTCTTCAATGTGACGGCTGAGGGGTTCAGTCTGGTGTACCTTGCCTTGGGCCAGCCACCAAAGCCGGTATACATTATGCTCCAGACTGGACCAATGACCACTGCGGATACGTACCCAATACGTCCTGGAGACAACGATTCACTATGGCGTGGTCTCACTATCATATATCTATGTTTGCAGGTCACTGAAGACGGCCAAGGTGTTCTACAATTCCCTGCTGACTCCAACAAAACGGCAGGTCACTCTTCATTGCCGCCAAGTACCAGTCACTCGGAACGCGGATTCAGGTCACGTCAGAGGCGGATAGAGGCATAAATGTAGTTAGTACCCATGACAGCATCTCGGCTTATCTGATCGTAATAGTCCTAGGGATCCTGTCCGGCCCGTGAGAAAGAACCTTTATCTGTAAGTTGGCATACGATTCTTGGTTTTATGATGAGAGACGCACATGTTTGTTATAATATTTAGCTGCTCTTTGCTCATCGCTCTTAGTTACGTAGATTTCTCATGGGTGATCCTCCGTCTCGTCGACCGCCGCTCCTCTACCTTACTACCTTATATAGCGATTCACGAGACTATAAAGTACTACGGCCAGGGGAGCTTCGGTATGTGAGCCCATGTAGGCTCTCGGGATAGAGATTGCGGTCCCACCTGACAGGATTCTCCTGTATTTGATTTCAAGAAAGAATACCTCGTCTTGTCGCTCCTCTCCCTAGCTACGTATCATTGAAAACAAGTAGAGGTTCCCACAAACATGGTCTCAATTTCCGATTTGACAAGGTCTCGGGTTTCGTGACCAAGGTTGAGGTCGTTTCTGACGTCTCTCTCGATGAAGTTTTCCGGGGTTTGGGTCCAAGCCCCCTGCATTTTCGGTCTGCTGGTCTTCTCGGATTCCAGAACGAAGTGTCGCTTCCACCTGCTGGTCTTGTGTTGAATACTCATTTTCTCTTCTTCACTCAAGAGAGCTTAATGCACATGGAATAACACGGGACGACGACGGGTGATGAATAGACTTCTTGTTAAGTAGGTTAGTGGAAATAGCGTTCTATAGAAAAGGCAATAAGTGAGTGGCTAAAAGCTCCCGTACCAAGTCAGATGTTGCGAGATCCATCGATGGAGGGAGCGGTTCAACGTACACCACTTGTCGTGAGGAACAAAATCTAGTCATCGACGTTCTGGAGACAACTTTTATACTGTTTCTGGCAGGAAGACTTGTTTAACTTATCACGTTGTTAATCTCGCGCAGCTGCAGACAGGACATATGTATATCACTCCCACGCAACCTTGGAGGTAAACTTCACTTGTCGTCAAAGTCACTGAACCTTATTCGTGACAATCGAAATCGAAGCTGCTCATCCTGCTTGGAACTCACATTCATTATCAACACCCCAATCTCAACTCTCACATCTTATACGCCACACCCGACTCGTGCTCCATCATATCAAAAGTAGGCTTCCCAGAGAACCATCCCGCCACGTCGGACCCGATAGACTTGTACGTAAACTCGGCATCCTCCTCGTCAATCTTGACCGTCTCGTGGCCCCTACCCCCGGCAGCGGCGTCGGCGAGTAACTGCTGGTGACAGCACCGCTCGAGGCTGAGGAACCAGTAGACGCAGCTCTCGACGCTCTTGCCGCAGGTGATGAGGCCGTGGTTCTGCAGGATGGCGGCCTTCTTGTCGCCGAGGGCGGCGGCGATGCGCAGACCTTCCTCTTTGCCGAGGACGATGCCGCCAAAAGAGTTGTAGAGGACGACGTCGTTATAGAAGGCGCAGGTGTCCTGGGTGGTGATGTCGAGGTTGCGGCCGAGGGCGGAGAAGGCTTGGCCGTAGAGGGAATGGGAGTGGGCTACACAGTTGATTTCTGGGCGGGCTTCGTGGACTGCGTGGTGGATCATGTATGCTGCGGATCGCTGTTAGCTAGACCATTGAGAGGTTCACCGAAGAAGTTGGGGGGGGGGGGTTGAGGGGAACGAACCGGCAGTGTTCAAGAGCCTAACGGGGCCACCCTCGACTACTTCACCGTTCTCATCTACGCGGATGAGATCCGACGCCTTGAGCAGTGGCCAGGGGACACCAAAGGGATTCAGCCAGAACGTTTGCGGCTCAACGGGGTCCTTTCGCCAAGTACTGTTAGTTCAAGATTCCGAGCCATTCTCAGTGTTTCTGAGACGGGAGAAGACGTACCCTGACTGTGATGTGGCCAGCGACGCCAGCGTCGAAGCCGTTCTTTGCGAAAATGCGGAAACCTAGGGCCAAACGCTCCTTGAGGTGCTGACGCTGCTGGTACGGATCGTCAAACTTTTGAGGACGAGGGAAGCCCTTGGTCTCCAGAGTCTTGGACTTGTCTTGCCCGGGCTTCTTCTCCGGCGCAATGGTAGAGCTGGGCAGGATGCCGTTGCCGTTTGTGTGTTTGACGGCGGAGACGTCTGCGTGGGGGATCTGGCTGACTGAGGTTGATGGTGCCATGTTTGCTTCCTGATGCCGGGTTGTCACTTCACAGAGTATGTATGTGTTGTGTGCTTCAAGCGGGAATGGGCGATATCACCGGGAAGTGCGGACGTGGATTCGAGCTTTATAAGAGTGAGGTGAAGTATGAGAAAACTATCCGTACTCGCCACGCAAATGTCCATCCGAAAGGTTCGCACTTAAGCTTTGTTCATGCGGGATGGCTCAAGCTTCGGCTGCCGATATCCCACCCCCCCTCCACTGGGCCTATTCGGGGGGATAGCTTCCACATCACTAACAAAATGGAACAATACTCTGCGGGACTCAAGACGGAATTCAATGCCGGAGCTGCTAAGGGTTGGTCACGCCCTCCCCCCGACTACCGGTACGCGGGTCCCGAGGCAAACCCCGCATTGTACGTCGATTGTGCCGCTCTGGCGTTTTGGGGCCCCCTTCAATCCCTGACGATGCGTGCCTCGGTGCCCACCTCCATTTAGGTCGGGTATCCAATGGTAGTCGAGATATTAATACGCCGGAGAGGATTACTTGGTGGTTTAGTGAGAGAGCGGAATGAGCTCCGCGACGGTGATCAGAGAGAGGCTCTTGAAAGCTACGAAAGGCGCACGATTTACGATTTGCTGTCACACTGGGTCTACGAGGTGCAGACTTTCACGAAGCTTGGGCCCCCATATGTAGAGTAATCAGCGCCGCGTCTGCGGTCTCCCGCATTGGTGAGTTACCTAGTTACGTTAACATGGAAAGCAGGCGACATCGCCAAGAATAAAATATCACCCCAGACACCGAAGATGGGAGGATGATGAGATGAAGGTCGACCAAGGTATCTATCTTGAGAGACTTGCGTATTTACACACTGAGGTGATGAATGCGGGACGCTTCTCAGCGGGCTCCAGCGGGCTTCAGCGGATACAAGCCGGGCGGGGGGCCGGGGCGGACCCTGAGGTTACAGGGGTGCGATGCGGGGTGATTAGATGCTCCCCATAGCTGACGTTTGATTGGCCAATCATCTCCAATCGAGGGGCTGGCCACAGGTTGGCGCAACTTTTTTTTTTCTCCATTACTCTTTTCTGGTGACGGCAAAATTTCACACCGCGCGACATCACCCACCAGCGCTGATAGGATCGGAACTGCGACTCTCTCACCTTGAACCTTCCTTTCCTTTCGGACAACACACGCGTGCGCAACCTATACCCCTCCACGCACGTCAACTTAACCTTTCCCCCCTGCGACGCATCATGGGTCGCAAGTTCAGAGTAAGTTTCCGATCGCTTTCAATTGACTAATGCCTGTTCGCGCGCGCTGACAATAATCCCCATCAGGGAGGCAAGAAGGGCAAGTCCCGCGGCGGCAGCAACGCCGAGGGCGGCGGTGACCGCGGTCGCCAGCCTCGCAGCGAGTCGTGGCAGAACTATCCCGCCGTCAAGAAGGAGAACGAGAGACTCCAGCGCTACTACAATACCATCTTTGGCCTCTCCGAAGAGGAGCAGGGTCCTTTCTGGGATGCCCTGCGCAGAGATCTGCCCAACAGCTTCCGCTTCTGCGGCTCCAAAGGGTAAGGCACCTGTCACTTGACAGTATCAACATGGAGTTTCGCGCGACCTCGACTGACCACAAATTTAGTCACGCCTTGGCCGTGAAGAAGCTGCTGCAATCCAGATACATGCCCGAGATCCAGAACATCCAGCACGCCGATGGACGCACCGTCGAGCCCCCCAAGCCCTTGTCTTGGTACCCCAACGAGCTCGCCTGGTGGATGACCACCCCGAAGAACATCATTCGCAAATACCCCCCCTTTGCCGCCTTCCAGAAGTTCCTCGTCTCCGAGACGACCGTCGGTAACATCAGCAGACAGGAGGTCGTCAGCATGATCCCCCCCTCTTGATGGATGTCCGCCCCGGCATGACTGTGTTGGACATGTGCGCTGCGCCCGGCAGCAAGGCCGGCCAGCTTCTCGAGATGATTCACCTGGGCGAGGAGGCGAGAGTCAGAAAGGTTCTGCGCGCCTTCGCCCAGGAGGACGGCCTCGACCTCGGCGACGAGACGGAGGAGGAGCGCCAGGCTGACCTCTCGGCCGACCCCTCGGATTCTGGCCGCACCACTGGTCTCCTCATCGCCAACGACTCCGACTACAAGCGCGGCCACATGCTTGTCCACCAGCTCAAGCGTCTCGGATCCCCCAACCTGCTCGTTACCAACCACGACGCCACTCAGTACCCCGCGATCAAGCTCCCCTCGAACCCCGAGACCCCGACCAAGCCTCGATACCTCAAGTTCGACCGAATCCTCGCCGATGTGCCGTGCTCAGGTGACGGCACCATGAGAAAGAACATGAACCTGTGGAAGGACTGGCAGCCCGGCAATGCGCTGGGTCTTCATGTCACCCAGGTCAGAATCCTGCTGCGCGCGCTCGCCATGCTCAAGGTCGGAGGCCGCGTCGTCTACTCCACCTGCAGTATGAACCCCGTCGAGAACGAGTCCGTTGTTGCGGCTGCCATCGATCGCGCTGGTGGCCCTGACAAGGTCGAGATCGTCGACTGCAGCAACGAGCTGCAGGGTCTCGTTCGCGCGCCCGGTATGAAGAAGTGGCAGATCATGGACAAGTCTGGCAGGCTGTGGAGCTCCCAGGCCGAGGTCGATGAGTGGACCAAGAACAGCACCGAGGGCGTCGCTCCTGGAAGACTCGTCGAGACCATGTTCCCGCCGTTGGAGGGCAGCGTCTGCGCCGATCTGCCTCTCGAGCGCTGCATGCGAGTCTACGCTCACCAGCAGGACACTGGTGGTTTCTTCATCACCGTTCTGCAGAAGAAGGCCGAGGTCAAGATCCGTCCCGAGGACCAGAAGCAGGGCGACGAGACCACCAAGTCAAACGGAGCGACCGCGGCTGCCACATCCGCTGTTGCCACACCCGCGACTGAGACCGCGACCGAGACCGAGAACACCGAGACGAAGATGGAGGTCGACGCTGCTGAGAAGACCGAAGAGGTCGTCGGGGCTGCCGAGGCTGCCCCCGTGACGGCCCCTGAGACCACTACCGAGGCCAACGAAGAAGTGAAAAGTGAGGAAAAGGCCGAGGAGGCAGAGCAGGATGCTGCGAACGGTGTTAAGCGACCGAGAGAAGACGAGGCGGCTGACGGCGAGACCCAAGAGACCAAGAAGGCCAAGCTCGAGGCGACGACGACGACGACACAGGAGAAGCCCAAGAACTCGAACCGTAATATCCACGGCCGTGTCGAGGAGCCATTTAAGTACCTGGACCCCAAGCACGAGGTCATCAAGAACATTCGGGAATTCTACCACATCTCGTCGCGCTTCCCCGACGACCGCTACATGGTCCGCAACGCCACGGGCGAGCCCGCCAAGGCCGTCTACTACACCTCTGCGCTGGCCCGCGACATCCTCTCGGAGAACGAGGGCCGCGGAATCAAAGTCATCCACGGCGGCGTCAAAATGTTCATGAAGCAAGACGCCCCCTCGGCCGAGATCTGCCGCTGGCGCATCCAGTCCGAGGGCATGCCCATCCTCCAGGGCTACGTCGGCGAGCAGCGCGTCGTCCGCCTGACCAAGAAGGAGACGCTGCGCCGTCTGTTGATTGAAATGTTCCCCCGCATCGCCGACGGCGAGTGGGAGCAGATGGGCGAGATTGGCGAGCGCGTGCGCGACATCGGCATGGGCTGCTGCGTGCTCCGCGTCGAGCCCGACGGCTCCGACCCGGCGTTTAGCGAGCGCATGGCGCTCCCCCTGTGGAAGAGCATCCACTCGCTCAACCTCATGCTGCCCAAGGAGGACCGGACGGCTATGCTGCTCCGCATCTTTAACGACACCACCCCGCTCATCAACAACAGCCTGCAGAAGCAGCGGGCGATAGACGAGGCTGCTAAGAAGCAGGCCGCCGCGGAGGACGCCTATGTCGCGGAGAAGGAACTCATTGACATTGAGGACGCCCCCACGCCCGAGGGGATGGAGATTGAGTCTGCGCCTGTTGTTGCGGAGGCTGAGGGCACCGCTGCCGCTGCCGCTGCTCCTACCACTGAGGAGGCTTAGAAGGCGAACTCCGATACGAGCGAGTTTGACCTGGATGCCCTATTGGGTAGAATGGGTAAACGCGCGGCAAAGCGCGCGAGAGCAGCCAAGCGCCGGCAAACTGCTTATGCGCAGAGGAGCGTGGACTTGGTCATGCGCGATGTGGCGGAGGGAGGATGGCTTGTCAGCGATGACGAGTGAGCCTTGGTCCGTAGATATCCTGCCTTGGAAGTATCACGTTACCTGGAATCAAGGGTCGATATAGACAAGGAGGGTTATTCGAAATAGGTGGAAGAAGAAAAGGTAAATGTATGAGTACATGAAAAAAAACCTCGTCGAGACAGGCGTTTTTGCATTTTGCACAGTCTAGAGAAATACACAGAGATCAAGTCAGAAATTCAAGCTTCTACGGATATTTTCGGAGCGCATTTGCATTTCTGAGGTTGGGATCACTCCGGATGCCAAAACTTTGGAAATCATGTATACTTGCAAAGACTCGCATACTCTTGACTCTCAATTGTCAAGCTGACTCCAATAGCCACATACACCCATCCATCCATCTACTTCGAAATTGGTGGGAGGAAACAACAAAACCTAAAAGGGATTTCCTCCCACCAATTTCGACGACATTCAAAAAGATGTGTGCGCTTCAATCGCGGACGGGAATTGAGCCCGACGTGGCTGGGGTGGATTAGTCGTGATGCTCCAGCAATATGCATCTGGTGTCTATGGTAACTTACGGGTCGAACCCACAACCTTGAGATTAAGAGTCTCACGCTCTACCGATTGAGCTAGCCGGGCAGGCTTTGTGTTTATGGTTGGTGACGATATGGGAGAAGGGGAGGGTCTATGATGCGGGTCGAAGGGGACGGGAGAGGAGTTGGATATTGGGTGTTGTGGGTTTTGGGGTTGGATGTCGACCTTTAGCTAGAGGGTACTTGTCGAAAAATTATGAGGGGCATGGCAGCTAGGCAAGATTTGGTTCAGAAAAGAAGGGTATGAGGATCCCGAGCGTTGATCTGGTGAAGTTCTCAGATCAAGCATGCACATATTGGCAACAATATGTAGAAGGTGATTTATCAATCCATTGAATACTACTCAAGAGCTATACTCGAGGTTTTATGACCCCTAACATGCAGTTGTCTTAACGATACTTCTTTCACCGCTTTACAAATGAAAATTCCTTTTGATACGCTTTTAGCAACACTCCTCATCGACGTGAACCTTGCCATGTGTGCTGGAGCTCTTCATCTCCTCGGCGTTGAGCTTCTTCAGGACTTCGGGCTCGAAGCCAGCGGCAGCGTACGTAGCTTTGTGCTGGTCCAAGTTCTTGCCATTCGACAAGCCGTACTCGGGTGTCGAAGAACCGTTGGAGGAGACGGTATCGTCGCGGGTAACAGCCTTCTCGACACCGTTCATGTACTTGCGGGACTCATCCTCTACGGAAGAGCCGTTGATCGTGTAGCCAGTATCACTGGCATCAACGTACGCCTCGAGACCGGCACCCTGGCGGGGGTACTCCTTCATGAGCTCCTTGTGCACCTTAAGGGCAGCACACATGTCCTCGTGGGAGATGTCGTTAAGGAACTCGCAAGTGCCTATGGGTGCGGGAATGGCCGCGCGCAGCTTGCCGTCGCGGGTCTTGAGGATGGCAGAAGTAGCCTTGTCAAGCATATCCTCGTCGAACAGCGGGTGATCCATGGAGAGACCGGCGCGAGAGAAGAGGTTCAACAGGCGGCGGTGCTCGTCCGATGAAAGCTTTCCGAGAACGTGCGCGAGAGTTGCCGAGTAGGCCATGTCAATCGAGATGGCGTGGCCGTGGCGCAGGGGAACATCAGGGGAAAGCTCGTGGAGAGGGGACCAACTACGCGGGGTTAGCTTCTAGGGCTTCGTGACGCGTTCAGGGCAAAAAGTAACTGACGTATGGCCATAGGCAATGACACGGTCAAGCATGATCTCGTGCAAGTTGGGAGTCTCAAGCTTCAACATCTCGTGGATACCATTGCGGTTGATCTTATCAGCCGCATCTCTGACCTCCTGGCTAGCTCCATCGGTGCGACCGAAACCAGTCTTGATCAGCTCCTCACAGAAGCGATCAAGCAGATCAAAGGTCTCCAGGTGGGCGCAAGTCGAGATCTTAATCAGCTCCGCAAAGCCATTGCGGATCTGTGCGGTGGGAAGAGTTCGCAGGAAAGTGAAGTCGAGGAATGTGTGTGTTGGTGCGTGATATGCGCCCAGACGGTTCTTGTAGTTACCGTAGTTGACAGCGACCTTGATGGATACGGAAGCATCGATCAGGCCAATGACTGTTGTGGGAATACGGATGAATGGCGTATTGCGGCGGTAGGCAGCGCATGCGAAGCTGGGTAGTGTTAGAAGTCTAACAGACCAAAAAAGAATGGGGGGGGGGGGGGGTGTGACATACCCAGCAACATCTGTGACCAATCCACCTCCAACAACAAGAACAGGCTCCTTCAAGGGGTGTTAAACAGATTCATGAAATTGAAGACACGTACTTACCTTGCGGTAGACACCAAACTCAGTCATAGAGTCGACGATGCTCAGCAACGTCTCCATGGACTTGGCCTTCTCACCAATCATGGTCTTGTGAATCTTGAGCTCAATGTTGTAGTGGTCAAAGTACTCCTTCATCTCCTTGCCGTAGATGTTGAAGATGTTGAGGTCCATGACAGCCAAGCATCGCTTCCAGCGCGAGTAGCAATCAGCCAGCTGACTGTTCTGCTTGTTGAAAACGCCATCGAGGAACTCAAAGTCGTACTCAATCTTCTCGTAGCCGCAGACAGAGAAGCCCTTTTTGGTGGGCTCAACCGTCGCCTTCATGTCTGATGCCATCTTGAGAATAGGGGGGTTAGGATTAACTGAGTCTGGATATTGCGCAATGGGGAGAACAGTGCGCTTGTCAAGATGAAAGACCTTGAGAGTTGTTGAATGAGGTGGGAATGCAAATGGAAAGAATCTGCTAGAGAGGTGCTTCCAACACCAGGCTTTTGAATGAATTAAGCTCCCATAGTTAGAATTACGAGACAATACCGCAGCCGTATGAGATACTTCTCGTTCCAGTAGACAATGCTCTCTCGGCGAATGTCAATTCCCGGAAAATTGTCGACGGATTGTCGACATCATCACTTGCGCCTCCAACGCTCACATAGGCCCACTCCAGGTTGACCGACTCCTCAAAAGAGGATCAAGTTACACAATCCCAAGGCAGACGAAAGCAAGTCATCGGAAGACGACAAGCAAGGGTCGGAGCCCAAAAGGCAAGACCCCGGCTTGCCCCGGGCGCGTAAGCTTGGAGCTATGCTGCTTTACCTTTGGGGAAAGCAGCTGGCGCAACGCGGTAGTTGACAAGAGAGGAGAAACGGTGACAAGTATATTCGACTCGATGCTGCCGTCAAACTTTGGTGGCACAAGCGAGTTGCTAGTACGGGCGAGCTAGGATTGGATCGCCCTCGTTGGATGCGTGGTTTTTTTCACCAGATCTCTTTCGCTTCTCTCGTATTTCGGTTGCTGCGTGACGGCAATATGCATAGGGAGTGTCGTGATGCTCATGACATTTGCCAATGAGGCCTACAGCTTCTGGCCCCGGAGACGTCTAGAAGCGACGCCTGGCGTCCGTCCTGGCGTTAGTTCCGCATGCCACAGGCTCTCTGCTTGTTGTGTCACATAACCAATGCGGTCCGCGGGGCGGGAAGATGGCGTGCTATACTAGGAGTGTCTTCCGATGTTCCCCATTGCCGCCTGTCGAGCATAACGGCAAACAGAATGAGAGCTAGAGAAATCCCATGTTTCAGTCTGAGAAGTCGATTCCGTCATCGACATTCGATAATTTTGCGGTAGGAACGCAGAGCCAAGCGCAGCTAGAGCAAGCTAGAGAGGAACGAGAGGCTGGCTCCCAGAGACAAGCCCAGGCCCCAAGTGCTGCTTGCCTTTGCTCCCAGGAGATGATCGACACGAGTCGTGAGATCTAGATCTCGCACGTGGGAAAAAGGTTGGGAGGACAGACCAGGGGGAGACAACCCTCCGGCGAGCCGCATCGGGTCTTTGGCAGCTTCTCGTTGGCTGGGGGAAGAACGGCGTGCGTTGCGGACATGGATTCAGGTGGCATTTCTGGTTCATCGGATTTGTTCGAATGCTGTCAAGCGTGGGAGCCATGGATCGGATGAAAGCATCGAGTCGCATGCTGGTTGTTCGATCAGTGGCGTCCCTTCGCCTTGCCTTGCCCCCCCCCCCTGGTTTCCTGCTACCGTTGGCTTGACGCACCTTGATTGGAAAAAAGACCAAAGACAGTTAAGACGCTTGGAAAACCCCGCAGTCGGCCGAGAAGCTGGCATGAGCTGAGAAAGCTGCTGTTGGTCTGCAGTTGAGAAAGCTCGAATGCAAAACTCAATTACATCTTCGACGCGGTCGATGAGGCGTTATGCGCGTCATGACTTGCCGTGCCCAGCCAACTGCCCCTCTCCGCGTGCCACTACCCGCAATCGTCGCGAAAGCACATGATTTTGTACTTCCGTACTGATGTACCTTTGTATCTATCTACGTACCTGACCGTATTCTTACTCAACACATTGCGGAAGCTGCGAATCACCATCTTACGGGATGCAAGGTCCGGTCAGTTACCCCGCCATCAACCAATGTCTCTCTTTCTCAGGTCAGAGCTACATAGGTACCCTGTGGCGCCTAACCTCAAGGCAGCTTTCAAATAGCCCAGAGGCATGTCAATGAGCATGGATGATGGCTGAGCTTTCTTCCTGCTGCTGTTGTGCTTTGCCGGCAATTATTGCCTGGTCGATCCAATTTGGGAAGATCGGAGGAGGGGAGGGGCAGCTCCACAGGTGTGAGGGGGGTAAACGGGAAAGTTGGGGTATAGGGTGTGGAAAAGGTGGTCAAGGTCGCCGAGAGCTACGGTTCCCGTCAATGTGTGCCTGCTTTGCTCGGAATTCCTTGCTTGCGCGTGACGGAGTCGGCGTTTAGTGGTGGGTGGGAAGGTCTGTTTCATCCATCGTGATGATAATTAGACCTGTAGCCCTTAGTATGAGCTGCTTGGGGAATGTGTACAGTTCTGCTTTTCTTTTCCTTCTTGCTTTCTACCTTCAATTACCTTGTCTACATAAATCTTTCTTCTCCAATTGAGGTATAAGCCATACTACCTGACTTACTCTTGTGACTTTGCTACAGTTGCCACAAGTACCTCAGTCAAGATGCCTCACTTTGACGAAAGCAAGGCATACGCCGTCCAGGAAGAAGTATTCTTCGACGACGGCCGCGAGATCGAACTCCTACATTTTGTTTACAGCCAGCCTAATCTCGATGAGATCCGCGGCTCGCCCGAAGGCGTCCTAAAGGCGATTGATGACTTTGGCCGGACCAAGAAGTACCTGATGAACGTGGGCGAGGACAAGGGCAAGATCGTGACAGATTTGATCGCCGAGGTCAAGCCCAAGGTGATGGTAAGAAGCAAGATCTCATCTCAAAAAACCTCGGGTTTCCATCGCAAGTTGAGCAGACTTGAGACGGAAAACTAGAACATGCAAAACATCCGAAGCGCTTTGTTGGCGTTCTGTTCTGACCATGAACGAATGATCTGAACATTCCACACGAGCAACCTTTTCATCCAATCTCATCTCATCTCTAACACCCACCAACAGGTCGAATTAGGAGGCTACGTAGGCTACTCTTGCATCCTCTTCGGCGCCGCCGTCCGCAAAGCCTCCCCCGGAGGCGGAGCGCAATACTTCTCCCTCGAGCGCAACCCCGAATTCGCCGCCGTCATCGGCTCCCTCGTCGACCTGGCCGGCCTCACCGACACGGTCAAAGTCGTCGTTGGTCCCAGCGATGCCTCCATCGCGCGCCTGCACTCCCTTGCTGGCTCTGGCGCCTTCGGCGGCTTCTCCAAAATCGACCTCATGTTCCTGGACCACTACAAACCCGCCTACACCACAGACCTCAAACTCGCCGAACAACTAGGCCTCGTGGTGCCCGGCTCCGTCCTCGCCGCCGACAACGTCATCAAGCCGGGCAACCCGCCTTACCTCGAATACGTCCGCAGCTCGGTGGCTGAGAAGCGCGCCGCTGCAAAGGACGTCGGCGCGGCGCGCAAGGCGGCTGGGTGGCATGACGAGCGCACGGCAAAGCAGTACGAGAAGCGGGAGGGCGAGGAGAGGTTGGATTTGTCGCGTATCGGAAACCCGAATCTGCGGTATGAGAGCAAGTTGATCAACAGCTTTGAGCCGACTGGTGTGCCTGTGAGTTTCTCGGTTCTGGAGAATGAGTATTCTGGCTCATGAAAGTGCTGACAATAGTTTCACTAGGATGGTGTTGAGATTACAAGATGCGTTGGCGAAGAGAAGGAATGAGAATTATGAATCACGATTTAGAATACCATGCCACTGTTCAATACCTTCGGACGAATTCAATAGAGCGGTCAACATACACATCGCACAGTGAAGCGCCACGGTACGGGCTTGTGGCGCAACAAATCCAGAAATATATTGGATGTATGACTTGTGCAGAACAGCCGCCATTCTAGTGCTCCTTCTTACTCCTTTGGCTTGGTCCCAAGAGAACTGCTCCTCTAAACCGCGTATTTCATGAAAAATAGAAATTCCCCCCAACAAATGCTTGTTTGTCCCAGTGTTCCAACAACGCCAAACTCAAAAAGCCCCCACGCAACAGAGAATCGACAATCTAAATTCCCAGCCAAATCTTGGATCTCTCGTACGCGTAAAAGGCGACCGCTGCCATGGGCACAACCTTGACGTAGCCAATAGTCAAGCCCACGAAGAACCCCTGCATACCCCTCTCCCGGAATATCATGGCGGCCGTCTCGCTGATGCGCAGTCGGTGACCGTCGCCTACAGCGCCACCAACCTGCATCCGCCGGCGAATGACCTCCAAGGGATACGACGCAGTCTGGGAGATGAGGCCAGCAACCCCACCGGCAAGGAGTTCGGCCCACGATCGCAGCGGCGTGGGCTTGCCCGCAGGCAAGTTCTCGGGCCGCGGCAGCGTTGTCCATTTGGCGAACTTGGGATGGCGGAGAACATCGCCGGCCGTGTCATGCGTCAAGAAGGACATGCCGGCGTAGGGAAGCATGCCCAGCATGGTCGGGGTGAAGCCTCTGTAAAAGTTGATCAGACCCGAGCGCGGGGCAACGGCGGTGACGGCGGAGGCGGCCGCCTCAGTTGCCGAGGTGCCGGCCGCTTGCGAGGCGGGGGACGTCCGCACAAAACGCTCGTTGTAGATCCGCCGGCAAATCGCGGACAACGAAGAACCGCCGTGTTTTGTCTCAAACGCTAACCGGACCCGAATCACCTCCAAGGGATATGTGAAAAAGACGGATGTAATGCCCGCCAGGGAGCCGCTGATAAGCCGGCGCCAGGGCGTCTCTTGGTCTTGCCTCCGGATAATCATGGAGCGGATCTGCTCGTAGGCAAGGAACTTGATTCCGGCGTAGGGGAAGATGCGGAGGAGAGTGGCCGAGTGTCCTCTGTACAGCCCCGTGAAGCCTTCGTGGGAGCGGATATCCTTCATTGCCGTCACGACACCGAACCATGACCCCGTGTACTTTGCGAATTGCGGACTGCTCGCCTGGAACAGGATCTTGACTCGGTCAAGAGGTGCGACGACCGTCTTTGCCTGTGATGCAAACCTGCGTCAGCTTGGCGGATCTTTCCCCCCAGGTTTCAACGCTGATTTCTTCTGCAACTTACAGCACATCCTGCCAGGCCTCCCGCGACACCAGATCGCCAGATATAGTCGAACGTCCGCGTCTGCTTCCTGACGGCTACCGTCTCGTCGTCGTCGGTCGGGCACACGGGAGGGGCCCTCGCATCTGGCTTCGGTCGCGCAGCATTTCGTTGATTGTTCGGTGCTACCTCCGACATGGAGGCATGTTCCAGCAGCGCTGACGGCATCACCTAGTTAGCGCAACTCGCGAGCGCGCTCGTTCGCTGGCTGGTAGTTGGTGAAGTTGTTGGCCCGGTGTTACTCGAGAAGCATCCCGCAAGTTCGTCCTTTCGAGATGTTGGTTACTAGATTTTCGTGGTCGAGGATTCGAAGACTAGTATCGGTAAGGAGAAACAAAAGGAGCCCGAGGCACGAGCTGGCACGCGAGGAGGGTAAGGATCGTGGGGGGAGTGGTGATCGTGGAGAAGGTTCCAAGGAGGCAGAGCGCGGGAAGGGAAGGGTAGGGAAGGGTCTAAAGCCGAAATGCAACGGGGCGGGACGTCATAAAGGCGAGATTTTAAAAAGGCTCCCTCTCATTGCACACAACTGTTGCTCTACGGGGGGAGGAGCGTGGCGCACGAGCGGTAAATTGGGGGTTGCCCGCTGAGAGTTCTACTACGGAGTACAGGGGTCTGGGCCACGAGCCGAAGATTGCCGAGCGTCGATGTGGGCGGATGGTCATTTTCAACTTCTCGGCCTCTACACAGTACGGAGTACGGCGGGCTGTCTTTTCCAGGATCTTCTCTGCTTTACTCAGCTCCGGTCCGGGGTTAGGCCTTTGATACCCACGATACCTCCGCAAATTCACTCCATGTGGGCAGTCGAATCAGGGACTGTAGGGAACTTTTTTTTTGTCACACAAAGAAACTAACACCAGACCGCTTGTCCAAGGAGGAAACCACACCAACGCAGGAGGGCCCTCGGTAGGATTGGACTACAAGCACCGGACTATTTTCTCCCACGGCCACCCCAGTTAAGCCCCTGGGTCCGGTCGAGGGGCACTTGGACTGCGCCGGGCCTCAAATCAAGCCTCCGGGGAAGACGCCCCGGGTCAAAGTCACAAGGCACGCTGGCCCTGATCAAGGTGAAGAATGAGAAGAAGAAACGATTCAATCTATATATGGCCTCTAGCCTCTCATCAATGTCCTCTCAGGCATGCCCATCGCCAAGATGCGTCTTGTTCCACAATGAAGACCGGTCCGTCTTCCTCGTCGACATCCCCGCCTCGCTGGAGGAGAGCCAGTCCTTACCGGTCAAAGGTGCCGAGACAACAGGACAACCACGACAGAGACGGCTCCTCTCGGTTGACCCCGTTTCCGCACCATTTACGATACCAGAGCCCCGGGACCCCCAAACCAACAACCAGACGCCGGCCAGCCAGCTCGCAGACCTCATGATCGAGGCAGCGGTGAAGAGTGCCCTCGACACGCTAAGACGGGGCTACGACGCGCCGTTTTGTCTCCCTCGTGTGACGAGCAGCGGGAGCAGCAACGTCAGCACCGGTCGTGAAAACAGCGCGAGCAGCCCGCAGGATCATCCCGCGCGCAAGGACGACGATGATGCTGCCGCAGCCGTCCGGGAGGCGGCTGAGGCTGCGGCTGCGGCGCACTTTATCCCCTCGGAATCTACGTACCTGAACGGTTCCATCCAGGAGACTAGAGAATCCTTCCTTTCCACGGCGCCCAAGTTTGACCTCATCATCATGGACCCTCCCTGGCCAAACAAGTCCGCGAGGAGAAAGAAGAAGAAGACTGGCGGCTATGCCACCGTCTACGGTCTAAAGGAGACGCGCGCGCTGCTGGAGCTGATCCCCGTCGCCGCGCATCTCGCGGACGGCGGTCTCGTTGCGGTCTGGGTGACGAACAAGGCGACGCTGGTGGACTTGCTCACCTCGCCCAAGGGCGTCCTCGCGTCGTGGGGCCTCGAGGTCGCTGCCGAGTGGCAATGGGTCAAGATTACATCGCAAGGCGATCCCATCTTTGATACGGAGTCTGCGTGGAGAAAACCGTGGGAGAGGCTGATCATTGCGAGGAAACGGGGCGACAATAGAAAGGTGCCTGGAAGGGTCATTGCTGCCGTCCCTGATGTTCACTCGCGGAAGCCAAATCTCCGTTGCATGTTCGACGATCTGCTGCCCCGAGGGTATCGCGGCCTCGAGGTATTTGCACGTAATCTGACTGCTGGGTGGTGGGGATGGGGCAATGAAGCTCTTCACTTTCAGGAGTCTCACCACTGGGTCACATCATCTGAATCAAGGCAAAATATGACTGAGAAACACGAATCCAAAGACACCAAAACCAATTGACACTTTTTCTATATCTCATGCCATCCTTGTTGTGTGTTGTATGTTGTACAAAACATGCCGATCCGCATGCTCACCACTCTTCTCGCAAATTTTTGTACACGCGATGGCTCCCCCCTTTTGTCGCCATACCTTCCCCGACAGGACAAATCCATTCACTCTTTGCTCCTACCCCCGTGCCCGTGCTTCCTGATCCACGATCAATTCCTCTTGCCCTTCTTCACAGCCCGATCCCACTTGCTGTCCAAGTCAACCTTCTCCTCGCCCTTATCCCACTTGCCGGCGGCAGAACCTCTCAAGATTCTGCCGGCCTGCTTCCGCAAGAACTTCCTCTCAGACGATTCCTTGTCCTTGCTCGGGTTCGCCAGCTTGCCGAGCTGTTTGCGAATGTCGCCACGGTACTGCTCCCGCGAGACGCTCTCGCGCGCCGCCCACAGCTTCTTGTTCCACGGCTCGAGGTCCTCGGGCGGGGTCGGCCAGACAAAGGGCTTCGTGAGCTGCACCGTCATGACCTTGGTGCTTTGCGGGCGGAAGTAGCCCGACCCCGTCGACCGCCGTTCAATGGCGGACTGTTTGACTTGCGAGCGCACCGCCGTCGTCTCGACGCCGTAGAGGTTCCAGAGGTAGTCGCGTATGTCGAACTTTGTAAAGGTCAGGGGCACGTTGAAGGTGGCCATCTTTGGTGGTGATTTGTCCTTGCGGACAAAGGTGACGACATGGTTCGGCCTGAAGAGGAGAAGTGTTAGATTTCTGTAAACGATGTTTTCGAGGGCGCCAGGGGTAGAGGCGATTTCGGGTGAAGGTGTCTGTGATTGGGAAATTGGACGTACAGGAACACCGCCTTCGTTCCCAGCTTGAAGGACGCTGGCCCTTGGCGGGCTATCGCTTGTGTCAATGCCTCCGCCATCTTGTCGTCGTTGATCTGCTGAGCTTGAGCCGACCGTGGAGCTTCTGCGATGCGGGAATCCAAAAAGTTGATGGTCAGGATTGATCTGATTGTTGATTGGTCCAGTCGGGGCTACGTATTTCCGTCCTTCCCGAGCTGTGAGGTGGGTCCATATAGGTTCCGGGCACAGATGCGGTAAAATTGGGTCACCGGCAGCTCCCTCAAGATATCTCCACAAGAGGTGGATAACTCCGACCGGACCCGCTACCCGGGCTTCGACTGTCTGGCTTACAATGGGCAATTGAGCTTGATCTCATGTACCACCGGTCATGGCTTAAGTTCAGATTGATAATAGACGCACATCAACTCATCGTTCTTTTTCCGAGTGCGCTACCCATTCGCAGCTGGCAAAAAACCCAAAATCGAGTGCAAGGATGCACTGCCCGTGTGTCGAGCAGATGTGGAGTCAAGGCATGTCACGCGACGTCCTGCCATGCGTAGATCTCGGACTCCGAAAGTTTGAGCCGGGTAGCTCGATACTCGCTCTCGCCAATTCAGTCTCTATTACCAGATGTCCAATCATAGGAATCTGCCGAGCTGCTTTTCTGCAATTGCGGACACAGCTGTCGAGTCTTGGCCGCCTCATTCTAAGGTATCTTCGACTACATCGAGATGTACAAGACCAGCGGTACACACTCACCTCCCTATCCGATGTTTTACCTAGCACGAGCAAATAGCCAACGAGGTAAGAGCAGTGCCGATCAAGGAATGGCCTGGTCCGTCAGAGCTCCAACCCCAGATTCCAAGACCAGACGGGTTATGTAAGGCCGCGCACAAACCTGAGTCTAATCTCCACTGGTTTATGAGGGGGATTGAGAATGCCACAGCTGGCAGTTTTTGGGTTTGAGAGACACCTTTCACCCCCGGTGCGATAGCATTTGAATCCATTGTTAAAAGACGTGTACAATTCCTGCGGGACATGGGGTCGGCTGCAAGTGGAAGTCTGACTCAAATGGGACTCACACATGGTGGACCACAGAAATGTTTCCCGAAAAAGAAGTAAGGGTGGATTGTACTAATAAACACAGCATTGCTAGCAACATGGAGACGCAATTATCCCGTACACATCTGGAAGGCTTTTCCCGTCCTTCTTACAGATCTTCATGAATCATGATGAACTTTTACCATCCATCTGTCATGGCTATTGGTATCTGACTTAGACATCAAGGCCGTCAACAACAACACCCTTGTTCCAGGTCCAGTTCATGTAGCGAGCGGTCTCCTCGGCCGAAGCGTCGTCGACGAGAGCGCTAATAAGGTACAGAGCGGCATCGATGCCGGCGCTGACTCCACCGGCGGTAATGACACGAAGGCCACCGAGACGCATCGCGGCACGGCGGGTAATGGACTCGCGGCGGCCGGAGCTCTTGAAGGACATGCTGCCCTTTCTATTCAATGAGTTAGCCTTGCTGGTAGAATTGTAGATAGGAAGGGAATTTGGCAACGTACCTGGCATTAGAGGGTCGGCGACCGGAGTCGGACTTGCGGCGGACATATGGGTTCTCGTCCTCATCTCCAAGCTCGAAGCGGAGGTTGTTCACGACGTAGCGAGCGTCGTCAATGACATCAGTTCTCTCAGTGAGGTTGCGGGTAGCGGCCTCGCTGCAGAGGATCTCGAACTTGGTAATGTAGTCGGAGTGGGTAGTGGCGGACAGCCCAGCGAGGACACCCTGCTTGGCGAGGAAGAGGGAACCAGTGCAGATGGAAAGGAGAGTACGCTCGTGGGAGGGGTCTTTCTGCTGCAGCTCGGAGAAAGCCTGGATGAGAGGAAGGGGCTCGGAGTTGTTCTTGAGAATGTTCTCACTATCGCCGCCAACAATGACCAGAACGTCAAAGTCGCTGAGGCGCTCATAGGCCTCCTTGAAGGGGATCTGGGTGCCAATGGTAACACCAGAGTCGGAGACGACCTTGGGCTCTGCGGCCGTGATGGTACACTCGAAGGCCTTGGAGTCTGCGGGGTTGGGCACTGATTAGCATGGCTGCGTCACAGCGGCATGGCGGAAGGAGCGGGGAAGGAAGTGAGGAGAAGCTGCCCAGGAGCTTTCAGGAACAAGGTAGGTACTTACTCTTATCCTTCTGATCGTGAAGGGCAGTAGACAAAGCCTCCATTGGGCCTGCCATGTCAAGAAGGTCGAAGTTGGGTTGCAGGGCGAACAGAACCTCAATGGGCTCGTCCGCCACTGCAGAGCTCTTGTTTGCCATCGTGCCGGTTGTTATTGGGGTTCTTCAAGGGGGGAAGAGTAAGTAATACAGCTTGTGCTAGCTGTTGGGTTGTGTTGGAGTAATTGGGGTACCGAGATGAGTTCTCGGAGAAGTTCGTTGCTTGGAATTGGTGATTGATTGATTGATGGGATTGGATTGGATTGTTCGTTGGTGATGATGAAAAGAGAAGAAGGAGAAGATGTGGAAAGAGGAGAGGGAAGCTCTGAGCTATTTGGATGGAAGGAGGGAGGGGGAAGGAAGTAATAAGGGTCGAGTCATCTGGACAAAGGAGGGGTTGGCAGTTGCACCACCAACCGACCTCTGCTTCTCCTTACCTCCTTACGGTTTACCTGACCTTACCTGACTTTCGGAATGTCTACCTCCTCACGCATCAACTTGAGGTGGACGTTAAGGTACCTCATCTCGCGGCATGTCCCCCTCACCCCTTGGATCTGCGCAGCTGGCCGGCTTCAAACCAAAGCAACCCCTCCTGCCCACGCGTGCTACGCCTGCCCTCCTCCAGCTCAGCTGAGTCAACTGGCCATTGAGTGAGTGATCAGGTGCGTTTCTGGAAAAGGCCACAACCCACAACAGCTTCAAGTGGTCCAATGGCCCCACTGTCTCCCGTACGTTTTCTGGGGTCGGGTGCATCGGTGGCCCACGGTGCATGGCGCTCTTTCGCGGATTGCGGGGTTAGTCTCCCCGTGAGGTCACTGGTGGGTCCCGGTACATGCCTGCAGGGCAGCCGGACCACCGAAATCCAAGTATTTCCACTTTGAACTTTGCCCGTTGCGGCGTCGCCCGCCCTTGTCGCACTGGCAATTAATTGAGCCTTGCGTGTTGCGACAGCACTGTGAGACCCAGCAGGTTAAAGACCCATATAAATGATAAACGAGACCAACCACAAGCTGTATTGCAAGCTGTTTGGCCGCGTCCTGCCGAAAGAGTGGTATTTCGTCAGGCCCCTCCCATGCCTTGTAGCGTGCCGTCCAATGATCCAACTTATCTTATCGGCCTTCTACAGCGTTCCCGGCCTTGTTCGATAGAGGGTCCCCAGCAAAGCTTGTACCTTGCATCAGCAGATTCCATTGCCGTTGCCTGACAGTTGCATGATATCGACTTGCCCACCTGCGCCCACAGACGGACCTTGTCTTGTTTTTTCGACAAGCACCTAGAACATCGTGAGGCTCGATGAAGAGTCACCGCTAAGAAAATGGCGTCGTCAGCGTAAGTGGCCAGACTTCTTATTCGTATTTTCCCTCATTTCCGTTCAACCTTGGTCGCTGCGTCATGTGGTGCGCGATATTCTGTTGCGCAACTTATCTGCACCTGCAACTTGCGACAACGTACACGATAGACTAACATCAAACTCCCCAGGTCTCTCAAGGACCTGTCCAAAGCCTTGACGTCCTTCTTTGCTTCGCCTTCCCTCCCGCTACCCGACGAAGTCACCGAAGTCATCGATGCCTACCTGAACAAGCACGAGAAATACGAGGATTCGAGCGCCGAGAGACTACAAGATGACTTCCTCGGCATCTGGGATAAGCATGTTAAGGGTGCACCGCCCAAGTATGCCGCCTTCATCCACGTCTTCCGTCTTCTAGTACCCGCGATCCGCACGCCGGCCCGCCTTCTCAAATGGTGGGACCTACTCAACGACCCGATCCTGGAGAACTTCACTCGGGAGAAGGGCTTGATGGAAGAGTCTCACCATGCGACGCTAGAGGTTCTGATGCTGGACGCGCACGAAGAAGACGATCCAAACGAAGAACGTGTTGTGAATCCTTTTGCCAAGAGGCTCTTGTTGTCTTGGTTGGAAAAGTACTACAAGATACAGTCTGAAAGTGACTTGACTGCGCAGTCCAGCGAGCGCGCAATACGCCAGGCCTTGATTACGTATGGCAGGAGGAAGCCCAAGGTACGTCAAAATCTGTGTTCGTTGTGAATGCGACCAGTTGTCTCATGGCATGACAGGACTTCCTTTTCACCCTGGATACGTGCTTCGTGCGGAGTGAGTTCCGCGCGAGAGCTGCCAAACTGTTGTGCGAATTTGTCCAGAGCCAACCCCCACACCTACACCTGATTCTGCAGACGCCGCTGTTCACTAATCTGCTGCGATGTCTGCAACAAGACACATCGACAACTGCCATTTCGATGGCCATCACCGCCCTCATCATGATATTGCCACACATGCCTAGTTCCTTGGTGCCACATCTCCCGAATTTGTTCAACATCTATGCGCGGTTGCTCTTTTGGGACAGCGAACGGACGGGCATCATTGCGGCGATATCAGATGATAGCGAGCAGAAAAGCCTCGCATCGCCTTCAGGGTGGGAAACATGCCAGTACTCTCCCGAGACCGACGATATCGAGGTCCCCCATCTCGCCAATTACTTCACCGTCCTCTATGGCTTGTATCCTATCAATTTCATGGACTATATCCGGAAGCCACAGCGGTATCTTCGTCATGCGAACGCAGCCAATCTGGACGAGGTCGAAGTTCAACCAACTGAAATCAGGTACAAGTCTGAGCGATATAGGCAAAGCCATCTTCTGCATCCCAACTTCTATACTCTGACGATCGAGTCTGAAAAGACTGACTTCGGGCGATGGATGACGAGCGAACCGGCAGAAGTCGTGGCCGAGTGCATGGCGCTACGTTTCTCCCCAGAGACATTCGCGCCTGTTGAACCCGACAGCATGCAGACGGCTGAAGGCGACATCTCCCTTCTCAGCGATGAATCTGATCGAGACGGTCTAGGACCCGCCTTGCTCAGTGGATCCAGCTTGGAACCTGGCGCCGAGAGCTGGAGAAGCAACCAAGATCTGGACCAAAACTCGAGAGCAAGCAGCCGGGTACATTCA